TTTCAGGATGATTCAAGTGCATTCATTTATTATGCACTTTGTTTCTATTATTATTACATTGCAATAGATAATGAAATATAATGTAAATATATATGAGACAGAATGTAATGTATAATGAAATAATTATACATCATAACTGATTATATATATTATATTATAGATAATTATACATAATTATATAATAATTATGCCACCAGATGCAACTGTACAATTGAAGTACATCAACCCACTTGGCACTCAATGATAGGATTTTGATATGAATCTGCAAGCAATTGATTTATTACGGTCTCTGTGCAGTCAAACGTCACTGCTAATGTTAATCTGTATTTGCAGCACTTCCCAGTGCTAGCATAGTTACCTCAGCTCCACCTCAGATCATCAGGTATTACAGTTGCATAAGGAGTGCACAAACCAGGTTCTTTGCATGCACAGTTCACAATAGGGTCTGCACTCCTATGAGAATCTAATGCCACCACTGATCTAGCAGGAGGTGGAGTTCAGGCAATAGTGCAAGAAATAGGGAGCGGCCGTAAAAACAGAGGAATCTTTGCTCACTCGCCTGCCACTCACGTCCTGCTGTGTGACCCAGCTCCTAACAGGTCATGGACTGGCCCAGACCCCTGCCCTACAATAAATAATCAAGAAAGTCCTAAACCTGGAAGTGAAAGGATAACATTTAAACCATTATAAAAACACACAAAAGTATAAAACTCACTGATAGTCACACATAGAAGGAAAAGAAAGAACTCCAATGTTACCACTGCAGAAATCCACCAAATCATAATAACAAACAAGATAAAGAAACAAACAATATATAAAAAAATCAGAAAACATTTCACAATGTGACTGGAACAAAGTCTCATATATCAGTAATAAACTTGAATGTAAACAGATTAAATTATCTACTTAAAAGATATAGAATGGTTGAGTGGATTTATAAAAACATCATTTTTTAAATATGCTGCTTACAAAAAATTCACCTTATCAGCCTGAAAATGAATGGATGAAAAAAAATTTTTTCTGTGCAAACAAAAACCAAAAGGAGCAGGAGTAGTTACACTTAGGAAAACAGATTTTAAGTAAAAAATAGTTTTTTTTATAAAAAAGACAAAGAATGTCATTAAATAATGATAAAGGAGTCAATCCAGCAAGAGGCTAAAATCATTCTAAATTTCTAAATATATATGCACCCAACACCAGAGTGTCCAAATTCATAAACCAAATATCACTAAGTTTAAAGAGACAAACTGCAATATAAGAGTGGAAGACTTCAACATCCCACTCTTAGCATTAGACTGATCACCTACACAGAAAATCAACAAAGGAACATTGAGTTTAAACTGGACCTTAGACCAAATAGACCTAAAAGATATTTACAGAATAGTCTATCCAACAACTTCAGAATATACATTCTTTTCATCAGTACATGCAGTGTTCTCCAGGATAAGCACCACAAAACAAGTCTCAACAAATGTTAAAAAATCAAAATCATATCAAGTATCTTCTCATACCCCAGTGAAATAAAACTAGAAATCAATACCAAGAGAAAATTTTGAAACTATGCAAATATATAAAAATTAGGTCAGTGAATAAATTAAGATGGAAATTTAAAAAATTCTTGAAGCAAGTGAAAATATAGCATATTAAAACCTATGAGACACAGCAAAAACATTGCTAAGAGGGAAGTTTATAGCAATAAATGCCTACATCAAAAGCAGAAAGACTAAAAATTAACAATCTAGCAATACACCCCAAGGAACTAGAAAAATAAGAACAAACAAAACCCAAAATTAGCAGAAGAAAAATAATAAAGATCAGAACAGTATTCAATGAAATAGACTTCCAAGACAATATAAAGGATCAACAAAACAAAAAGTTGGTTCTACAAAAGGATAAACAAAATTGATAAACTGATAACTAAGCTAACCAAGAAAAGAAGAGAGAATACCCAAATAAAATCAGAGATTAAAAAAGGAGGCATTATAATTGTTACCACAGAGATACAAAAGGTCATCCAAAACTATTATGAAAACGTATACTCTGGCAAACTGGAAAACCAGAGGAAATGGATAAACTTCTGGAAAAATATAACATAGCAAAATTGAATCAGGAAGCAATAGAAAACCTGAACAAACCAGTAATGAGTAGCAAACTGAATCAGTAATAAAAGGTCTCCTGAAAAAGAAAAGCCCAGGACTGGATAGATTAACAGCCAAATCCTACCAAACATACAAGGAACTAATACTAATCCTCCTGAAACTATTCCAAAAACTCAAAGAAAATGAATTCTCCCTAGCTTATTCTATGAGGCCAGTGTCACCCTGATACCAAAACCAGTCAAGGACATATACATGCACACACGCACGTACACACACACACACACACACACACGTACACACACACACACACACACACACACACACACAACAAACAAACAAAACTACGGGTCAGTATCCTTAATAAACATAAATGCTAAAAAATACTTGACAAAATATTAGCAAACTGTATCTAACAGCACATCAAAGAAGATAATATATCACCAAGTGGGATTTATCCAAGGAATGCAAGGATAGTTCAATATATGCAAATCACTAATAGTAACAGCAGTGCTATCATACAAAAACAGTGATATATAACATCAGCAAAATGAAAGGCAAGAACCATATGATCATCTCAATAGATGTGGAAACAGCATTTGAAAAAATTCTATATCCACGCATTATAAAAATTTCCAACAAATTAGACATAGAAGGAACATACCTCAAAATTATAAAGGCTATGTATGGCAAACCTATAGTTAACATCTTACTAAATGGGGAAAAGTTGAAAGCCTTTCCTCTAAGAACTAGAATAGGACAAGGATGCCCACTTTCACCACTTCTATCCAACATAATACTGGAAGTCCTAACCAGAATAATCAGGCAAGAGAAAGAAATAAAGGTATCTAAATTGGAGAAGAGGATGCAAAATGTGTCTCTCTTTGCTGATGTAATGATCTTATATCTAGAAAAAATCTAAAGACTACACCAAAGAGTTCTTAGATTTGATACACGAATTCAGTAAAGTTGTAGGATACAAAATAATCATTCGAAAATCAGTAGCATTTTATACAGCAGTAATGATCTAGCTGATAAAGAAATCAAGAAGGCAATCCCCTTTACAATAGCTACAAAAAAAGTAACTAGTAATACATTTGACCAAAGAAGTAAAAGATCTTTACAAGGAAAACTACAAAACACTGATGAAAAAAATTGAAGTTGCCATAAGTTACTGGAAAACCATTCCATACTCATGGATTGGAAGAGTCAATATCTTTTTTTTTTTTTGAGTCAATTTCTTTAAAATGGCCATATTGCTTAAAGTAATCTACAAATTTAATGTAATCGCTATCAAAATACCAACATCATTCTTCACAGAATTAGAAACAAAATCCTAAAATTCATATGGACCTACAAAAGAGTCTGAACAGCCAAAGCAATCCTGAACAAAAAGAATAAAGCTGGAGGTATCACATCATCTAACTTCAAAATATATTACAAAACTATAGTAACCAAAACAGCATAGTGCTGGTATAAAAACAGACACGTAGACTAAAGGAGCAGGATAAAGAACCCAGAAATAAAGCCACATATTAGCAGACAACTGATCTTTGGCAAAGTCAACAAGCTTCAATGGGGAAAGGACATCCTCTTCAATAAATGGTGCTGGGAAAATTTGGATAGTTACATTTAAAGTAATGAAACAGGACCCTTATCTCTCACCATATATAAAAATAAACTCAAAATGAATTAAAGACTTAAATGGAAGACCTGAAACTATAAAAATACTAGAAGAAAACCTAGGGAAAACTCTCCCGAACATTGGTCTAGGAAAATGATTTATGACTATGACCTCAAAAGCAGCAAGAACAAAATAGACAAGTGAGACTTAATTAAACTAAAAGCTTCTGCATGGCAAAATAAATATTTGACAGAATAAGAAGGCATCCTAAATCATGGGAGGAAGCATTTGTAAAACTATCGAACAGAAGACTAATATACAGAATATCCAAGGAGTTCAAACTACTCAACAACACAAAATAAGTAATCCCATTAAAAAGTGGGTAAGGGACTTAAATAGACATTTCTTCAAACGAAGACATACAAAGGACCAACAGATATATTAAAAAATGCTCAACATCACTAATTATCAGAGAATTGCAAATCAAAACCACAGTGTGATACCATGTTACTGTCAATTTTTATTTAAAAAACAACAACAGGAAATAACACATGTTATCGAGGATGTGGAGAAAAGGAAAATCGTATACATTGTTTGTAGGAATGTAAACTAGTATAGCCATTCAGGAAAACAATATGAAGATGTCTCAAAAACCTAAAACAAGCATTAACTTTAAGCCAGCAATCCCGCTACTGGGTATCTACTTAAAGGAAAAGAAATGAACATATCAAAGGGATACCTGAACTCACCATTCACAATAGCAAAGGAGTGGAATCAACCTAAGAGCTCATCAACAGATGGATAAATAAAGAAAATGTGGTATAATTACACAATGGAACACTATTCAACCATAAAAAAGAATGAAATTATGTCTTTTGCGACAATGTAGATGGAACTGGAGGTCATTATCTTAAGTGTAATAAGCCAGGCACAAAAAGTCATATTCTCACTTAAGAGTAGGCACTAAAATATTTGATAACATGGAGGTAGAGAGTGGAATGATTGATAACAGGAAGAGTGATTTGGGAGAAAGGAGGGTGAAGAGAAGTGGGAAAAAGGGAAATAACATGCAGTAAGATAGAAAGAATAAATGTAAAGCTTGATAGCAGAATACAGTGACTATACTTAACAAAAATGTATGGTACTCATGTGATGGGCATGCTAAATACCCTGAGTTGATTATGACGCATTTTATACATGTACCAAAATTTTGTATGCATTCATGCATTTGTATATAAAAAACAAAACGTCAAAATCCATATAAACTCACTGGAACTCACCATAGATGTGCAGGGTGAATTTTTCCTCAGTGGTGTCTTTAGAATCCTTTTGGTTGATCTGAGCTTTGTAGGATCCTGCATCTTTCATGGTCAAGTTGCTGATGTTGAGGGAGTAACTTGAGCTGGTGATGTTTAGTCGACCCTGGTAGCTTTTGACCATAATGGTTACCTCTCTGTTGGGATATGCTAAAGCAAGAGCATTTTGGGGACCATTCCAGGTCACGTGCTCAATCTCTGCATCTACTGAGATGTTTAGGGGTAGAGTCACAGAACCCCCTAGGATTCCAAACACTACTTTTGGGGATGAGTCCTTTCCAGAGACTCTTAGTCCTGCAGAGACAGAAGAGAGACTTGGAGGAGGAACTAGCCGTCATTCATTTGTTCATTCACTCAATAAACATGCATTGGGCACAAACGTCAGATGCTGAGAAATGAAATGAGATTTCTGCCTTCTTTCTTCCAGGCCTATTGCCTAGCAAAGTCATTCATTCATTCAAGCATTCATTCACCAAACACTTTCTCCCTTAAAAGTAGCTACAATATTCAGTAATGCAGAATAGGGTGACCCTTCTAACAGGGGAATTAGCCTTGTGACTTTGGGTAAATTTCTGAATTTTTCTGCAAATCAGTTTACTAATCTATGAGATTGAAATGCTCACACCTGCACCATTTTCCTCAAGGAATAGAGTAAAGATTAAATGAAAGCAGGTTGCTGCAAATTGTAGAGAGCTAGTGAAGTAAAAAGGAGCATGTTTAAAAAATAAGGTCTGCTGGGTGTGGTGGCTCATGCCTGTAATCCCAGCACTTTGGGAGGTGGAGGCAAGAGGATTGCTTGAGTACAGGGGTTCAAGACCAGCCTGGGCAACTTGGCAAGATCTCATCTCTACAACAAATCAAAAAATTTGCCAGGCATGGTGGCTTGTGCCTGTGGTCCCATCTACTCAGGAGACTGAGGTAGAAGAATTGCCTGAACTTAGCAGGTGGAGGCTGTGGTGGCCATGAGCATGCCACTGCACTCCAGTCTAGAAGATAGAATGAGAGTCCTACCCAGAAAAAAAAAAGGTGAAAAACTGGATGGTTAGAAGGATGGATAGGTGAATGACAAAGCAAGTAAATTACAACATTAATGGTAGGTTCTAGGTGGTAGGCATTTGAGGGTTCACTGTAAAATGCTCCAACTTTTTTGAATGTTTCAGAATGTTCATAACAGTGTTGGGAGCAAAAGGAACTTCTCCCACCTCTATCTGACCCTACCTTTCCCTTTATTTTCCAAGGGATTTCAGACTAACTTTCGTCTTGGTCAGTTTTGGGGTGGGAAATAGTTGGTAGCACTGATTCAGCTCCAGATTTCCTCATCTTAGCAAGGCTCACTTTCCTGATAAACATTGTTACCAAGGTTTCCAAGAGACTAGCATTTGGCCAGGGCAACTGATTTTCTTGTAGGGATTCTGTGGGTATCTGCTGGGTGGCCCCAGCCTGGATTTCCAGATTCCAGGTCTTATGAGACTCTGGAGAGTATTCTGGGAAGTCCAGATCAAATCAAATGGGTGTAAATACAGTAGAATGCTGCTGTTCAGTCATACAAAGAATGAAATTATCTCTTTTGTAGCAATGGAGATGGAATTGGAGGTCATTGGAGGTCATTATCTTAAGTGTAATAAGGCTACTTTAGGAATTCTGGGTGGAAAAATAAGTAGAAAATATTAGAGAAAGAAGAGTGGCATAAGAACAGCCTGGAGGGGTGGGAGAAGGCTAGGTGAATTCTGAAGACCCAGAGGTTACAGAATATGCTCACACAGAGGAGATCCTGTTTAGTATAAATCATGGTGGTTCTCTGCCTAGACCCATATCAACCCAGCACTTGGAGCTTGTGGAGAGACAGTTAGGGAGGATGCAGGGCTAGAACTCCCGGATGTGAGAAGGTCAGATCAGGTAGATTCTGTGGGCAGATTCAGAAGGTAGAAGCTGAGTTGATGCAAGGCTGGTTTGAGGTTTCCTAAAAGAGATCTCTTCCCATCTGGAGGATGCTGCTTATGATTGCTGTGCGTGTATTAAGTACTTTATTGTAAATCACCTCATTTAATCCTCAAAATTACTCTATAATTAATCTCCTTTTACAGAAGAGAGCTGAAATTTTAGAGAGTTTAAAACCACTTGCCTGAGATTACTGGGTTGATTAGTGGCGGGGTCCGGATCCTATGTACACAATACCCCTAGAGTACCAAGACCAGGAGTACTGACCACCCCTTCCCTGGAAGCCCAGAAGGTCCTGGGTCTTGGCTGGGTGTATATGACCCGTCTGACTTCATATTTCTTTGTATCAGAGATAAACAAAGTCTCACAGATGTCAGCGAAGGGAGCAGGATGTGGGCCTCACAGGTCAAATCTTGTTTCAGAAAACAATGCTAGCAGCTCCCAGCACAGTGAGCGTCCCCGGTACCAGCCATCTTATTTTGAACTACACCATTTGACAAACAATAAAAGAGGGTTCAAAGATTGTCATATCTATCATAGAAACAAAGAACTGAGTATCACTTGTTCTCACTCATAAGTGGACCCTGAACATTTATCATAATACTACAAGGAAGAGATTGGCAGTAATAGCAGTAGCAGGTCATTGCTGGGAGTGGGTAGCACATAACATTATTAAGAGTACCTGATCCCAAACCAGGTGAAGTGAGGACCGATACAAGGCCCAAACTTCACCTGTACAATTACCACTTATGTATCTAACCCTGAATTGTACCCCACATCTTTAAAAACAAAAACAAACCAAAGATAGTCATAACTGAATTTGACTCCCCCAACTCTTAATAGTTTCCAAAGAATGCACATAGCAGTAATTATTATAATAACAACCATAGCTTCTACCAACTATGTGCCAATCACTTCACATGTATCACCTCTAATATATACATGAATCTTGCATCACACATGCAAACGCACTCTACACTTAAGACATAGAGGCTCACACAGCAATAAATGATGGAGCAAGGATTTAGTTTCAAATGTTCTTGATACTGGAGTGGGAGGTGGTCTTTTCACTTGTTCCTGTCACAACTCCCTGTAAATACAAAAGCATCATCCTTTTAAACCAAAGGGATGAGGTTTGAGATCATCCCAATCAGAGGAGCTGGACTGAGGGAGATGCCACTTTGCCCTGAACTGTTTGAAATTCACCACCTTGATCATTTGAGACTCAAATGACCTTGAGGTAGCTTATTTCAGGTTTACACAACACAACCAAGGAACACCCCAAGGGTTGGGAGTAGCAGTAAACAGCCTTGCTGCTATCTGTGCTTTTGTGGTGAGCAAGGATGAATTTGAAAGTGAAGAGAGGTCAGACTGGACCTCAGCCCCTTCCACTCAGGCTTGCATCTAGGATTTGTTCTGGAGCTCCCCTCACACACCACCCCAACTTCCCCTGCCCTCAGTTTCCCAGTGCTGTCTGCACCGTCCTCCCTGTGGCCCCAGGGAAAGTGGGATCACAGGAGACAGCTGAGATCCTCCCTGTAGGACTGGCTAGATAGCAGGGATCAGGACCATGTAGCTGAGAGATGTTTCCCAGAGACTAGCAGGAGTTGGACCTATCTAGGGAGAAAGAATGTGCAGGAGAAAAGGAGATGCACGTGGAGACCACCTTGCTCAGGGTCACGTGACCACCTCCAAATTCCTAATGAAGCCTCAGTAATAAAGTGAGGATGTCTCATAATCAAGGCAGTAGCTGGAAACTGTCAGGGGAGGGGGAGGAGCACATAACACCAATAAGGGTACCTGATCTCAAAGCAGGTGAAGCGGGGACCAAAGGGAGGCCCAAACTTCACTTGTACGATGACCACTTATGTACCTAATCCTGAATTGTACCCCACATCTTTAAAGTTTAAAAAAGGCTCCAGAAGTTCTCTCCCTCCCTAGGAAATTGCTGGGTGACTTGTCTTCAGGGAATTCTGGTTCTCTCCGTGGCTTTTACCTACACTGTACAGTGTAGAAAAAACTCATTAAGTAATGGGTATTTCTTAGGAAAATGTGAAAGCAAGAGGAATGTAGTTAGAGCCTAGAGTTTTTTGAGGCCGCCACTCCCTCTTGGTGCATGGATACGCACACATACAGAGTAACTGCCACAAGGAGAGGAGTTTCCAGATTCTACCAACAGGAATGCCCCCGGCAGGGAGTGCAGCCAGCCTCAAAGGAACATTCATAGCAACCAGTAGTGGCCATAATGTGGACTTACCCATGAGCAGGAAGAGGAGGAAGGTCCATAGGGTGGAAGAGAATATTTGTGGCCAACTCTTTTGCGGGTTACTGTAGAAAGGCCCTAGATTCCGGTCATTTGTGTGGCTCTTTGTGCCCGCCATGATAATCTATTTTCAGATCTCATGCTGAAGGAGGGTGCAGTTACCACAGCTTCCGCAATTGTGTGTGTGCGTGTGTCACAGGGAGGGTTGTTTACACCCAGCAGCACAGGCTGCTGCCGTCTGCTCAGGCTGGGATGGAGGTCCCAAGTCTATTTGCCTTCACTTGCAATTGACTTTGAGTATCACTTGCTTTAGCATTGAGGGACGACTCGGGTTCTAAACTTAGCCCCTTAAAGAAGACTGTTAAAGAGCTCTACTTCCTGGCATACATGCCCCTGTGTACTCACCTCTTCTTGAGTGTGGGCTGGATTTAGTGACTTGCTTTGAGTGAATAGAATGTGGTAGAGGTGATGGATGTTGCTTCTGAGATTAGGTTACAAAAAGGTTGTGACTTCTATCTTGGGCTCTCTCTCTCTTGCCCTACCACACTTTCTCCCTTTCTCATTCTCTCTCCCTCTAGCTCACTCTGAGGAGAACCAGATTTTATTTTGTGAGATACTTAATGGAGAGGATCCCAAGACAAAGAACTGAGGGAGGCTGCCAGCCATCTCCCAGGAAGGAACTGATTCCTCTGGTCAGTAGTCAAGAGGACTTGAGGCCGGCTAAGAGCCCCATGAGTGAGATTGAAAATGGATCCTCTGACCGAGCGAGGTGGCTGAAGCCTATAATCCCAGTACTTTGGGAGGCTGAGGTGAGGGATTGCCTGAGTCCACGGGTTCAAGGACAGCCTGGGCAACTTGGCGAGACCTCACCTCTACAATAAATCAAAAAATTAGCCGGACGTGGTAGCACATGCCTGTAGTTCCAGCTACTTGGAAGGCTGAGGCGGAAGGATCGTCAGAACCCAGTAGGTCGATGCTGGGGTGACCGAGAGCATGTCACTGCACTCCAGCCTGGGCGATGGAGTGAGACTCTAACTCGGAAAAAAAAAGAAAGTGGATCCTCCACAGGAGGGTCTTGAGATGACTGCAACCCTGGCTGACACCTTGACTGTTGATTTGTGAGCACCTTAAGCCAGAGCTCTGGTACTAACTAAGCTGCACCCAGATTCCTGATCCATGAAAATTGAGATAGTAAATGCTATTTGTTTTCTTTAATTTATTTTTTGTGTTTAATCAAAGTCGCCTTAGCTACAATGCATATTGGTTTAATGTGCTCAGCTTTGGGGTAATTTGTAACACAGCAACAAACTAATACAATGTCCTAATAAATTTTCTATTTTGCTTATGCCAGTTTGTGTTGGCTTCCTGTCACATGCAACTGAAAGACTTTTAGCTGATGTGGAAAATATAACAGGAGACAGCACTGGGGCTGGATGCTATAAATAGCAATGTGGAATTGAGAAGGTAGGTGGGGGAACAGCACAAGTCCCTTTATCTTGCCTTGGGAAACTGTCTTCTACTCCCTGCTCCCCTCCTTTTCCTCCTTAGTTGGTAGTGTAATTGCTGGCTAAGCTGTAGTTTGTGTTTTGAGTTTCAGGTCATCATTTAACTAAGGCTGTAGCATTAAGTAGACTTGGTAGAAAACTTGAGGCTGATTGAGTGTGTGATTTTTAACTGATATTCTGCGAGAGCTTACAGGATGATAGAGAAAAGAACAGTTAGGATAATAGGCTTCTGCCCATGGAGAGCATCTTCGGAGGCTGGCCATGATCCAATGTTGTACAGTCAAGTGACAGCCTCCTTAAATTTTGTGCACTAGAAGTCTCTCTTGTCTCACTCTAGTCCTGGCCCTGTGACTAGACCTGAGAAAATTGCAGGACGTATGGCCAGGAGAGGTTGCCAGAGCTCACATAAAGAATTTTACAATCCCATCAGGTGTGGTGGCTCAAGCCAGTAATCCCAGCACTTTGGGAGGCCAAGGCAGGAGGATTGTTTGAGACCAAGAGTTTGAAACAAGCTTAGGTAACATAGTGAGACCTTGTCTCTACAAAAAAATTCGGAAAATAAGCTGGGTGCTGTGGTGCATGCCTGTAGTCCCAGCTACTTGTGAGACAGAGGCAGAAGGATCGCCTGAGCCCAGTAGGTGGAGGCTGTGGTGAGCCATGACCTTGTCACAGCAACGAGGACATAGGAGATACAGAAATCTTACTCCAGCTGCAGAATGGAGGAAAGATGGATGGATGAGACTGAAGATGAGAGGACAGGTGAGGAAGCTATTGAAAGAGTCTGGGTAGGAACATGAGAGTCAGGACAGTCCTGGTGGGCTACAAGGTCAAAGGTGAAAGAGGCTCAAAGTTGGGTGATGATAAAAATAATCATTCACATTTATTGAGTGTTTGCTATGAGTGAAGTTTTGCGTTTATAACTTTTCATATGTTTTCTCTTTTAATCCTCAAATCAATCTGACTTGGTTGATACTCTTCTTATCCCCATTTTAGAGATGAGCAAACTAAGGCTTAGCGAAATAAATGTCACTGGAATGACCTTCTTTGAAGTTGTGACTCTAGGGATACATAGAACCCAATTTAGGGTTATCACTTAAGTACAGAATATCAAGTACAGTAAAACCTAAAATAATGTGAATTTTGATATAATGTGGCGGAGGCCATGACAACCCGGGGCTCAGCATGGGAACCAAATGAAGACACCCCCCTGGAAGACAAAGCCCCAGAGGGGATCCGTGTGTGTGGCAAGGCCCCACGGAAAGTCTTGAGGAAAGTTCTGCATAGCTGCCCTGTGACCCATGGTCGCCTGGTTATTCCCATTATATTGTTATACTCCTACCTTACAGGAATAATATGTTTCAATCTCCCTCGGAAAAGAATAATGTAACCAGAATTGGAGGGAACAGTGTCTACAATGCCAGTAATAAAGCAGTCAATGTTTCAACATCGGCTATGTCTCAGGAAATACAAATAAGAACAGGAGAGGTCATGACAACCCAATCGTCAATAGAACCAATCACTGTAACATCCACTGCAACAAAATGTACCTTAAACTGTATGGCAAATGAAACACTTAGAGATTCTCTATTAAAATTGTGGCATAAGGAATTAACAGAAACTGAGGTAAAAACTGTTACAGATAACATAGGTATAGTTAAACATCAGATTAGTCATAAAACTGGAACCCCCCAAAATAAAGCTCTTAAGCCTTTATCTACTATTAAAGCAGAACAACATGTGGGATATAATATTAATAATAGAGTTTGGTGGGCCCCTAGGGGTAGAAGCAGCGTGCAAAATTTATCGTGGCTAGATCATCCTTTACCTTACACCGGAGGTTATGATGAAGACATGGTTAGGTGGGCTTGGGTAGATGGCAGATGTGTTAAATGGAACTCTCTGTCTCTCTGGGAAAGAATTAAACGTAGTAGCCCACCATGGTGTTAATTCTAAAGGCATAGAAAATAAAAATCTGCTACAAAGTAAACTAATGGTATAAAAAAATTAAATGTAGCTATTATACAATAGAAGATTGTGAGAATAGATATAGCTAGCTAAGCTTGATATAATTAGTAATAATGATTTTTTGCTATTGCTCAATTATAAAAATAAGTTAGGGATATTTAGAACAGATAAAGTAAGCTTTGTGTGAATCCACATATTATTGCTTTAATAGCTGATTGTCCTTTTTTTACTTTTTATTTTCTTTATAGAAAATTATATATTTTCATGAAATAGGATGTTAAGTTTATATGGTTAATAGTCCAGCAGGTGGTGGTAGTGATAACCACAAAAACTAGTTTTGGGTTTATGGGCAAGTTGTATTAATCATTAACTTTATAATAAATCTTGTAAGACATGAGAACATGCAGTGTCTGTGATAAAATAATGAAATCATTTTGTGATTGTATAACCACAAAAAATGATTAATTTATAATTTACTATAAATAAATGCAACCTGGTATGTTTGATTGCCAGAGTGCCTGAAGAAACTCTGGTCACGACTCCTCATTCCCTCGCCTCATCACGCCTCCTTTTCGGGTCCCCATGAACCCCCCGGAGCTGGCCTCCAGCAATAATGCAGTTGGTAGGTGTGCCCTGCACTCGTACGGCCCTGTCCTCACATGGAGAGGGCTGGTATTCTCATCAGGACCCAGGGGGCAACATCCAGCGGTGTTGGTCTCGGCGTCTCCAGTGTTCTCCCCTCTCAGTGTCCCTGCACCAGGCCAGCAATGGGCGTGGTTGACTGGAACATTTCTGGACTACTTGCTCCTGTCCTGGGAGACCAGTCAGACACAGACCCCTGAATCACTCCCACCAACTGGGCATCGCCCAGGTAGCATCAGATGCCAGCCTGGACTGAGATTTTGATCTGGCAGCCACAGACCCAAGCTAAGCTACATAGGTTCTCCACCAGCCCTGACCAGCCCTTCATAAATCTTGCAATTGACATGACTCTGCCTTTTACATAACTGCATGCTTTTGGAGAGTTGGAGTCTCACTCTGTCACCCAGGCTGGAGTACAGTGGCACAACACTGCTACCACAGCCTCAACCTGCTGGGCTCAGGTGATCCTTCTGTCTCAACCTCCCAATTAGCTGGGACTACAGGTTTGCACCACTATGTCCGACTAATTTTTTGATTTATTGTAGAGAGGAGGTCTCACTATGGTGCCCAGCCTGGTCTCGAACTTCTGGGCTCAGGCAATCTTCTCACCTCAGCCTTCCAAAGTAATGGGCTTACAGGTATGAGCCACAACGCCCGGCCTGGACTTTATTTGTAATATCATGTGGAATTTAAAATGTACATTCTCTTACAGGTTGGAAGAATATGAGAAGACTATAGAATTTCGATGAGTTTGAAGCTTTTTACACATAGATGGAAAGATGATGAAATATTTTAAGAGCTAAAGAAAGGCAACATCGCTGGGCTCGGTGGCTCAGCCTGTAATCCCGCGCCTTTGAGAGACTGAGGTGAGTGGTTCGAGACCCGCCTGGGCAACTTGGCGAGACCTCATCTCTACAATAAATCAAAAAATCAGCCAGGCGTGGTAGTGCGCGCCTGTAGTTCCAGCTACATGGAAGGCTGAGGTGGAAGGATCGCCGGAGCCCAGCGAGTCGAGGCTGCGGTGGCTGGGAGCGGCCACTGCACTCTGGTCTGAGTGACAGAGTGAGACTCCAACTCAAAAAAAGAAAAGGAAAGGCAACATCAAGTCAAGTGCTGTCACTACAGTGGAAGGAAGAATGAGGTAACATCACAGTGTGCAAGGGACTCTAGGGATACAGGTTGGGAAACCAGCTTACAGAGGGCATCAACAAGGCAAGCAGAAGGGGCACTGGCAGGTGCCATCAGTTAGTCAATCAGTGACACTTCTGGTCATCAGCTAGTTGAGACAGTGCCTTGGGAGTGGCTGCTACTGGCATGACAGGACTGTTACTTTTGTGGTTATGAATCTTCCAATCCCGAAAAGATAAGGAATGCAGAATAGACCTGTTCAGGATAAACAGTTAATATTTTTTGTTTACATATATAATTATTTGTTTATTCAAGTTATAGTAAACTTTGCTGCTGTGATTTGAATGGATGTATCCTTCCAAAATTCATATGTTGGAACTTAAACCCCAAGGTGGTAGTATTAAAATAGCCTGTGGGAAGCGATTAAGTCCTCATGAGTGGGATTAATGCCCTTATAAAAGAGGCTTCAGAGAGCTGCCAGGCTCTTTCTTGACCTGCCGCTCTTCCTCCATGAAAACATCTTAGAAGCAGAGAGGAGCCTTTAACAGACACTGATCTGCTGACACCTTGATCTTGGACATCTTGGTCTTGAGAACTGTGAGAAATAAATTTCTATAATTTATAAATGACCCAGACTACTACTTTTGTTATAGCAGTCTGAATTGAGACCTTTTTGGTTCTGATTTGAACTATGAAATTGAGTAATTGATTTACATTTGTAATTTTAGTTGGAAAACCAAGTTCGCATGAAGCATGACTATTTTAAGTCAACTTAAGAATTACCATATATCTAAGTTTAATGTATTAGCTGTATAAACCTCCTAATGTATTTGGGAAGGCTTATTTGTTGATCAAAATACTTTAAAATGAAATTAAATATATGAAATATATTACACTTATTAGTGAGGATAATAAGGGGATCAACTTGTAAATTTGTAAAATTAGTCCAACATTATCAGGGGCTCCTAAAATGGTTAGTTAAAATTTGCCCAATTTGTAAACAGAATTATAAGATTTATAAGCTAACCTGAACTTAAGGCTGACCTGGGCTTTAATTTATTTTTTTACTAAATTGAATATGATTTCTTAAAAGCAATATAGTCCATGGATCACTTTTTTATGCACAGACACCATCTTCGAAAAATAAATTGTAATGGGGAATTCTTATTGACAGGTAGGTAGTTTGCTGAGTCACACAGCCAGCAAGCAGCAGAGGCTGGATTCAACCAGAAAGCCTCATACCCCCTGCACGGCCCCAGTCAGGAAGCGAAACCACCAAGTGGCAAGATTTTCTTCCCCACAGCCTGTGAGCGACTCGACTGCAGACATTTCCTTTCATCACTCAGCCTCCGGTCCCTAGCACAGTGCCTCTGTGCCACTTCACAGGAGCTCGACAGATGCATGCTAAGTAAAGACGTGAAGGGAACCCAGGGCAAGTGGCATTCCGGAGTCCAGGAGAGGAGTGTTTCAAGAGGCAGGGGCTTAGTGTCAAGTGCCACATGGCGGTCGTATCAGTCAGGGATCTCCAGGAACACAGTACCTCGGATGCATATGTATTTCCTTTTTTTTTCTTTTAACAGGATTTGGCTCACATGATTATGGAGGTTGAGAGTTTCCATGATCTGCTGTCTGCAAGCCTGAGGAACTGGCTTAAATCATTCTTTGTCTGAGGGCCTGAGAATTGGGGGGCTGGTGGTAGGAGTGTCCCCGTCCACAAACGAAAATCTGAGAGCCAGTAATGCTGATGTCTAATGCCAAAGGAAGATGTCTTAGCACCATTCTAGCCTGGGATTTCAGGGAGGCCTTTACCAAGGTGTTAATGACCTGAGATGGGCAATGAGAGGATGCTGGGGTGAGGCAGGTGAGGTCGTTGGCAGGACCAGGACAATCCAGGAAGCAAAATTGCATGAATAAGTACATTTGCATTCACAAAAGTGAGATAGTTTAAGGGGACTAGAGTCCAAGGTATGAGACTTAGTGACTAAACATGCAGCCAGGGAGGCTGAACAGACACAGCTGATCATGAAGGGCCTTTTCCATCAGGACTTTGACCCTGGACTCTACCCTGTGGGGGCATTGTAATGTAAGTAACACTGACTTTTAAACAGCTCATTCTGATGCTTCTTGTCCTTCTTTCTTGGACGGCCCCTCCATATCTTGTGACTCAAAAACTGCATATGATTAAAGCGGTGACACTAAAAACAGGAAATGGCCATGGGCCACCATGTGCATATGCTCAGTCCATCAGCTGTTGTGAGGCAGGCTGCCCTGCTGGTGAGTGTCATGGGCCATTCTCTACTAAGGCTCTTGCTCCTCCTTGGCCTTTTCTTGGCTAAGTCCACCCCTTCCGCTACCACCCAGGCTCTTCTGTCTGCCTTATACACTGGCTTCTTCTGGGAATGTGCAGTTTTGATGGAAGGCGTTGCCTCTGGGGAGCCAGACTCTGTGTGTGATGGGAGAGGGCCCTGTGTGCACGGGTGTGTGCCAGGGCATAATCGCACGTCATGCAGACCCACACGTGTCCTTGTCATCCTTGCATTTCTTTTCCTAATGAGTTGCAAGAATCTGGGCATTCCTAGAGAGGATGGACTGTGGGGTCTTGAGACAGGATCAGCCACGGCCAGTTCCAGGACTCACTTCACCTGCATCTTGCTGTTTTGAGCACGTTTCCTGAGCCACTCAGGTTTTTAGCGATGTGGTACCCTGAGGCTTGTGATCTGTGTCTGGTCCCTTGTGTCTCTCTCCCCTTCCTCCCTCTTCTGCCAATCTCTGGGGTCACCCTTGATCGTGAATTGGGCCTTCCGTGTCCTGTAAGTGATTCATGGGGGATCTCAACCTGGCGCGCAGTGGCAGTTCCTGTTCCTGTGGATTCTTAACCGCTTACCTCCAAGGAACTGGAAGATAGGGGAACGTAAATCTTGAAAAATTTACGGTGAAGGGCTGGGTTCTGCTTTCAGTCTCCAGAGTTTCAAGTATTCACTTTTCTTCTCCTTCAGGGAAAACCAGTGTGCTCTGGTTATTAGAGTTACCTGCCTTCAGGATTGTTGTCCTCATCACAGCCCTAGGGTTTCTCCTAAGCACACTGATAAATCCCTTAGCTGTGTTTCAATCTTGATAGTTAATAAAGGACTTTAACTTAAAACTTCAGTTATTTATTTATTTAGAGTCAAGAGTCTCGCTGTGTCGCCCAGGCTGGAGTGTAGTGGCATGCTTATGGCTACCGCAGCCCCGCCCTTTTGGGCTCAGCTGATCCTCCTGCCTCAGCCTTCCAAGTAGCTGGGACTACAGGCATGCCCCACCACAGTTGGCTGATTTTTTTTTACTTATTGTAGTGATGAGATCTTGCCATGTTGCGGGTCTCGAACTCCTGGGCTCAGGCAATCCTCTCGTCTTGGCCTTCTAAAGTGTTGGGATTATAGGTGTGAGCCACTGCACCTGGCCTTTATTTATTTACTTATTTGTTTATTTATCTAGAGTCGGAGTCTCACTCTGTCACCCAGGCTGGAGTGCGGTGGCATGATCATGGACTCTCAGCAGCCTCAACTTCCTGGGCTCAAGCAATCCTTCCACAACATCCCAAGTAGCTGGGAGTATAGGCACATGCCAGTATGCCTGACTAATTTTTTGATTTTTTTGTGTAAATATGGTCTTGCTATGCTGCCCAGGTTGGTCTTGAACTCCTGGGCTCAAGCAATCCTCTTGCCTTGACCTCCCAAAGTGCTTAGATTACCGGCATGAGCCATTGTGCCTAGCCTAACTTAAATTTTTGAAAATGTGATCCTTACAACAATCCTGTGATATGAATAAGGCAGAGAATATTATACCCATTTTATAGGTGATAGACTGAGGCTCAGAGAAACTAGGTGACATCTTCTGGCACATCGCTAGTGATCCGTGAAACTGAAAGTCAGCACAGCCCAATTGTGGGAATGTAACAATGACAAGGAAAATCTCAGAGAACTACATACACGCTAAAGACACAGAACTGAAACCAAGGAACTGGATTACTATAGCTTTTCTCACACCCTTGCTTTCTTCTCCCTCTGTGGAGCATGCATGTCTTTGAGTCTTCCTCCCTCCGTGGAAGGAAGGGAAAGTATCTGGCCAGACCTGTGGTAGTCACTGCCCACAAGGGCATCTCTTGGACCTATAGGAAACGATGGGTAAGATAAGTCTTGCCTTAATGGATGTTCACAGTTCCTCAGTTCAGTTCTAGAAACATCTACTGAGGCTTCTTGTGTGCCAGGTTCTATGCTGTGAGTGTGGTTGGGGGAAAAGGGGTGGTGTGGCACAGGAAGGAATTCAGGGTGGAGAAACCCGATTGCTGGCAGTGTGGTGTGGTAAACAAAGCATCAGCTTCGGGGACAGACACACCTGGGTTTTAATTTGGACTTTGCAGCTTCCTAGGTGGTGACTTTGGGCACTTGTTTTGTTTTGTTTGAGACAAGGTTTCACTCTGTCACCCAGGTTGGAGTGCAGTGGCACAATCCCAGCTCACTGCACTCTCGACCTCCTCGACTCAAGTGATCCTTCTGCCTCAGCCTCCCAAGTAACTAGTACTATAGGCACACACCACCACACCTGGATAACTTAAAAAGATTTTTTTTGGTAGGGACGTGGTCTCATTCTGTTGTCCGGTCTGGTCTTGAACTCCTGGTCTCAAGTGATCCTCCTGCTTTAGCCTCTCAAGTACCTGGGACTACAGGCACAAGCCACCACACCCTGGGCGAGTTTCTTAAGCTCTTTGAGTCTCGGTCTTCAAGCGTAAAGGAGTGATAAAAGAATACCTACAGTACAAGTTTGTTGGGAGGGTTAAGTGAAGCAATGTGCTCAGTGTGCTTGGCACGGTGTCGGGCTTTTGAGATTTGTGTCCTGTGTCTGATCCTTTTTCCTCTCATTTGAGTCCAGAAACAAGATTCAGATCAGGAAGCCTGACACACACCCCACCATGCCTCGCCACAAGGCTAAACTGCTGGCCTTGCTTCACTTGACTGTTCGGATATTAATTCCCTTCTGGCTTCTCCTCTTGGACTCTGGGGAAAGACACACAGCACAGCTCTTTGTATGAGGCAGAATAAAGTCAATGCTTAAACACAAAACAATCTAACAGGAGCACAGGCTGAAGGAGACCAGGGGATGGCATGGCTAGACCAGAGGTATGGAGCTCAGTGAAGGCCGAGGCAGGGAAGTGCAGCAGGAGCTGCGTCTAGCTGGTTGCAGCTCTAGGGCGCACGAGGGGAGCAAAGCTGCTGGCTTTAGGAGGAATTCCTCCAGGTGAGCTTTCAGGCCTGCTCCCCATCTGGGGAGAGGAAGATCTCTGGTTTCGGCGTCACACTGCTATGGGATGCTTCCTGCCACCTGCACCAGAGAGAGCAGGAATATTTCCATGGAAGAAAATGGAAGAGGTTATATCACTGCCCTCCAGTGCATTCTGTGGTGAGCACACCAGGACATTAAACGTGCCCTGGCTGCAGTTGCACACTCCCATAGGATGGCAGCCGCTCTCCATTTCTCGTGACCACAGATATTGTCACAGGACCTCTCAGTTGATTTGGGCAAGAAGTCCTCGTCACCTGTCCTGGGAAGCAGTGATGTGGCCAGTGCTTCCAGATCCCAGGTTTAAATCAGACTCCGGGTACCTCCCTAAGCCACACTGCCTCCTCTTTCTGTGTAACTGTGTGGTAGACCTTGGTCAGCTCCAACCTTTCTGCCTCCTGGAACCCCGGGAATTACTCCAACAGATGGGGTCCCACTATGGAGGAGTGGTTTTAGAAGCAAGCGTTCTGACCAGTTTTGGTGAGAGTGCTGACAAGGGGCATTCACTAACTTATTCCAGTGATGCAGAGTTAATGTAAGAATATGGATAGTGAATTGTAGTGACCTATAATAATTCACTATAATACAGTGAGCACTAATAGTGAACACTATTTACCTGTATTCTTTCATTTACCTCTCACAAAATCCTAGAAGGTGGCACCTCCTGTCGTATAGGTAAGAAAACTGAGACTCAGAGAGGTTCAGCAACCTGCCCAAGCCAGCACCTGGTGCAGCACAAGTTTGGACTTGGCAGCCTGCTTGGTACCCAGGGCTTCCGCTCTTCTCTCCAGTGCAGCGTAGGCTGCGATCCCCATGACTGCTTCACTGAATACCTTTAAACTGGCCTGTGCACCCCCAAATCCTGGCAGGGCTCAGAGGATCTGGCTGCTGTTTTAGTGGTGGCTGGACCAGCAGCCCCAGGGATGTGGTGAAGTCCTGCTACGCATGGGGCTAAGCCAAATGAACTCTGATTCCTTTCCATTTACCAGCGAGAGAGCGGCTCGGTGGCAGAGGGATCATCCCCCAGGTGGAAATCCTCCTCCCAAGCATTGCCTTGCTCTCTGTTCCCCTTAGCACCAACCACTCTGAGGATAGCATTCATGTAATTATTTTATGCTATGTTAACTAGCACATGCAAATCCTGAAGACACCACTCTGGCGTGAAGGAAAGGGCACTGACCTGTGCTCTAGTTCTATTGCCAACTGGCTACATGGGGATCTGGGGCAAGCCACCTAGATTCTTTAGGCCTCTGTTTTCTCATCTATAAGATGGGAATAACACTCCCTTCCCCAACTCACTTTCAGGTCTGTTTTGATCTTCTGGTGTACTCAGGCTACTCTGAAGCTTCTGTTCTTTGTCTGCAGGGCCAGAGGCTTCTAGAGAGAACCTAGACCCCCTGGTGGTAAGTGGGATGCTCGGAAGGTCTGTCACTCTGCCCCTGCAGCTGTCGGGACAGCAGGTGGAGAGCATCTCCTGGACGTCACGCTCAGTCCCCAAGGCGATTGCCACAGTAAACATGGTAGAAGCCAGGGGGCCAGACAATTTTTACCAGGCAGAAACCCGGTCCTGGGGTCGCGTGAGTGTCGTGGACCCAGACTGCTCCCTGCAGATCAGCAGCCTGAGCTGGGAGGATGCAGGGTCCTACCGGGCCCACGTTAACCTATGGAACTCCCTCACCACCCTCGCCTGGGAGTACCTTCTACAGGTCTATGGTGAGTGTCTTGAGGATGGCAGCAGGGGTGTTGTCAGTCTCTCAGTCATTTTAAAGCTTTAGCAACATTTGAAATTTGTTTTATTTTTAAAATCAGGGTCTCATTCTGTCACCCAGACTGGAGTGCAGTGGCATGATCATGGCCACCGCAACCTCGACTTCCAGGGCTCAGGTGATCCTTCTGCCTCAGCCTCCTGAGGAGTTGGACTACAGGGACACAACACCACGTCGGGCTAATTTTTTAATTTTTTTTTTGTAAAGACAAAGTTTCGCTATGTTGCTAGGGCTGTGCTCAAACCCCTGGGCTTAAGTGATCCTCCCCACTCAGCCTCCCAAAGTGCTGGGATTACAGGCAGGAGCCACTGTACCTGGCTGCAATTCTCTCTTTAATTGCAAGGCTAATATATACTCACTGTAAAAAAAAATATAATGTGTTAGATAGAGCTCACCGGGGAATCTCCTGAAAAATATCAAGGTTCAGAGCCTGCCCCAACCAACCAGCAAATCTCCTGAGTAGGTAGTAAGCAGAGAATAGACTCTCAGGCCCTAAGAACCAAGTTTTGCCACAACCTACTCATGTGGCCTTGAGTTTCCTCATTGCTAAAACGGGAACATTACCTTCTTGTGAGAATAAAAGACATGTGAAAGAGTTCTGCAAAGATGTAGGGAGAAGCTCTTATCACATTCCTTGAAGAATTTTAGCAAATGTTAGTGGGGGGTTTGGGTTTTGGACTTACCACTTAAGTAGGTGAGACTTTGGGCAAGTCGCCGAAGCTTTCTGATTTTGTGAAATGAATTTCTAGAACACCTCCCCTGTCTATTCATGAAGTTGCTCTGGAAATCCAGTGAGCTATCAAACAGCATGGCCTTGTAAAGCCCAGAGCTCTAGAACAGATGTGGGAAGATCCTGTCTCCATTGTTCCCTGTATGTAATCAGGGTGATATTTGCCCCATGAAGTAGAGGCCCAGAGTAGTTCCCAGTCCTCAGTTTATTCCCATTTGTACCCACAGAGCAGCTGGCCCGGCCTCATGTTGCACTGAGCTCCAGGGTTGGTGAGAATGGACACTGCCTTGTCATCCTGACATGTGTGGCACAGAGCAGAGGAGGTGCCGTGACCTACAGCTGGACACCCCTGGGACCCCGGACGGTTGTGTCCCATGGAGGGTCTGTCCTCAGTGTCTCCCAGAGGCCTGGGGACAGCACTCTGACCTTTACCTGCATAGTCAAGAACCCAGTCAGTAACAGCAGCTCCCACCCGGTCTCAATGCCGCATTTCTGCACAGGTACCTGGCTTCTCAGTCTGCCCAGGAACAAATGCAACAGCTCTGGAGTGCACAGAGAAGGTGGAGAAAGGAGTCCTGGCTCCCTTCAGGCCTTGGGGAGACGGGGTTAAACCCTGGTCATGGGAGTAGGAGGAGAAGACCGACTGGGGCTGGTGGGGAGGTTGGAGGGGCTTAAGCAGGGGTGGCTGGATGACTGTGCGGCTGTCCCGAGTAGGTGGGCAGCACTACCACTGAGGCTGTGGGTTCCTTCTCTGTCTTTAGGATCAGGAACCCTGGGAGAGGACACAGTGGGGGAGATAGTGATTGGTGTCCTTGTCTTATTCTAATCCACAACAAAATTTGAGGGTCACAAATTTCCCTCATAATTGCTTACAAATTTCCACGCTCAACAATCCAAAATCTTGGATGTTTCTAGACCCTCAATGCTTCTTTTTATTCTGAGAAAAAAAAAAATCACACTCCCAGAAGCACACTTGAACATTCCACCTTTACAGCCTCTTACAATTACTGCACTGGCTTCTTATTAGCTCTTTTTCGGGTCAAAAGGACAAATAACATTCTTTCTCTTTACCTTAAGTCTAACCCCTTGCCTTAAGTCTAACCTCTTGTCTTTAACCCGATGGAGCCTATTTCCTATGTGGGTCAAATGCATACATTTGCCTTCTAGCCATTGGACTGGAACTTGAACATTAGTTTATTTGGCTCCAAACATCCAAATTACTCCTTCCAATCAGCCCCTTCCGATTCTACTTCACAGTCGTAGCAGAGCAAAATGAGCAATCCTTCTAATTCCCTTACTCATTGGACTAGGAATCGCCACTGGAACGGGTATGGGAATAATTGGTATGACTCTCACAGCCCACACTTATCACCCATTCTCAGTCGAGCTTGCCACCGAGCTCAACCATATCTCTGATGCTTTAGAAATCCTCCAAAATCAGGATGACTTCCTAACAGCAGTTGTTCTCCAAAACCAGCATGGCTCAAATCTGTTCATAGCCGCTTAAGGGGGCATTTGCTTAGCCCTAGAAGAAGAATGCTGTGTTTATGTTAATTAGTCAAGAATAGTGCAGACCATGTCAAAAAGCTTAGGGAGCAAGAGGCTGAAATTGAGGAACAAGCATCGCTAGGATGTTTCTATGAACATCAACCTGGGAATGGAACTCCTGGTTGCTCCCATTCTTGGGGCTCTAAAAGAACCTGTTTAGGTATTTCATTACCCCTTCTTTTTGGCCCTTGCATTTTCAATTTACTTGCCCAATTTGTTTCCCCCCAAATTTTAGCAATTTCACCTTCAATGGCACTGAGAATGAGATGATATCAGTCCCCCTTGATTCAGTTGGGCGCTGGTTTCACCCCAACACACTTCCTCCTTCTTTTTTTTTTGAGTCAGAGTCTCACTCTGTCGCCCAGACTGGAGTGCAGTGGCCGCTCCTGGCCACCACAGCCTCGACCCGCTGGGCTCCGGCGATCCTTCCACCTCAGCCTTCCGAGTAGCCGGAATTACAGGCATGCGCTACAACACCCGGCTGATTTTTTGATTTATTGTAGAGATGAGGTCTCGCTGCCTAAGCGGGTCTCGAACCCGCGGGCTCAGGCAATCCACTCACTTCAGCCTCCCAAAGGTGTGGGATTACAGGCTGAGCCACCGAGCCCGGCTACTTCCTCCTTCTAATAAGCCTCTTACCCATATCCTGAGTCCCAAAATTCAGCACTGTATCCCACAGAATCCCCTGAGAAATTAACAATCCAAGGTAGGGCCAGTGCAATGCCTCTGTTTATCACAAAGCAGCAACAGAAGACGACACCTTCACCTCACGCCAAAGATTTGGCATTTTCGCTCTGTCAGGGAGAATGTGGAAGCTGAAGTGGGCCAGCCACAATTCATGGTGAAATTTACAAGGAACTTACTGATCACAATAAGAGTCATAAAAGCTTGCTGACTGCTGTAAATCATTGTTGTAAACTAACCTTTAGCAGACCACTGTAAATGGAAAAGCAGTTAACCATTTCTGTAAATTAACCCCATCTTAAGGAACAGATCACCGTAGTCAATCAGCCATCTTGTAGACCTCTCACACAGCATGTACAGCGTGTAGATCACCCTCTCCCTCCAGACCCCTTGGTGCCACTTGCAAACTCCTCAGCACAGCCTTAAAAAACTTGCCTCTAACTCATCTCTTGGCAGATGGCAGACAGCCTCTCTTTGCTGCACTGCACATTGCTCCTTTACAATGGATCTTGCATTTAATAAGTCTGTCTTTCTAATTCACCACTGTCTTGGTGAATTCTTTCAGGTCCCACAAGACTTCTGCCCCAGCAAAGTCGTATGTGTAACACTTATATGAAACAAGGAGCTAAGTGACTCTGTATATGACACTTATAATCATTTTTAGAAATGAAGGAATTTAATGACATTGGATGGCTGCTCCTAATGTCAATGGACAAAGCGATAAAATAAAAAGATGAGCTCAGGAATATGAATTCCCACCTGAAACATTGTATAAATGACCTAAGAGCTTTTAAGTGTGCCCTGAAGAAGAGTTTTATCTCTTGCAGCTAAAGGACTGAAATTGCTGAAAATCAAATGTAGAACTTCATCCTAGATTTGGCTGAATTACAATACAAGTTGAACTCCCATACTCATAGGATATCTACTATGAAAATGATGATATTCATTGGAAAATAAGGTATCATGTAAATTGACATGGAAAAATTGGTCTTCCCAATTGTTGTAAACTATTTCCCCCAATTGGGAAGACCAATTTTCCCAGTTGGGGGAAAGTAGGGGATATTCTGATGAATCTTCTTTGCCAGTAGAATAGTCTTCCTCTACCCCCACCCCCTTCCCATGGAAGCAGACTCTCCACCTACAGGTGTCTTGGCCTTTCCACCTCAGTCTGAAGGAATTAGCTCTGCATTGCTTAAGGAAAAGTAATGGCTTCCTCTGAGGAAATTGCCATGCTAGACCATGCTGATTCAGGACCCATCCCCATTCTTCTTTGCTTCTAGAACTATGACTAGACTCAAGCCCCAGCAGGTGCTTAAAAGTGAGATGCAAAGTGGGACCCATGAGGAGATGCAGTACACTCCAAAAGAACCAGAGTTTTCCAATTTATACAAGCAGAAATCTGGGGAACATGTGTGGGAATGGATAATAAGAGTGTGGATAATGGTGGAAGGAGCATAAAGTTGAGTCTTATATTACGGATTGATTGATAAACTAAGCAAAGATTCTACATCTAATGTTGCATCTCATGATATTAGAAAAAACCCCAACAGGTTGTTTGGTTGCTTGGCTGAATCATGGACCAAAAGTTTACCCACCATGAGTGAATTGAAATATCTGACCACCCATGTTTAGGACAGAGAAAAGGATCAGGGTCTTAGAGAGATTGGAATGTTAGAGAAGATATGTTCCTTAAGACCTACTCACCCACAGAGTATCCAGAAGACATAATTTTTATAAATTCGGAGATAGACTAACATCCTTGAAGAGCTTCATAATCACTCTTCCCTAAGACCAAACCTTACAGTGGGAGCCATAGGTACTACATTGGAAAATCTAAACACAATGGGAATAATTGGGCCTCTGATGGCAGGAACCAAGTGTGGTACTCAACCATCAAAGACAAAGTGATAGTGGTTACCATAATAGACAGTGGAGTAAAAGCAGTAATCAGAATAGTCTGACTTGTGCAGACCTGTGGCATTAACTAGTTGATCATGGTGCTCCTAGAAGTCAAATAGATAGGAAACCTACTAAATTCTCACTTGATCTGTATAAGCAGAAAAGTTTTAGACGAAATAAGCAGAAATGTTTTAGATGAAGTAAACAAAAGTCTGACTCAATTAATAAAAAACAGAGTCATGACCCCTCAATCAATTACTAGACTGGAGTCAGTTTGCAGACCCGAAAACTAGAGGAACGATCCTGGTATACAACAGAAGATGTATATTGTTCATTTTTCTTCCAGCCTTCACCAAAGAGATCTGTATCCTTTAACCATGGTAACTGTGTGTTGGGGAAAAGGAAGCAATCAGACATTTTGGGAACTACTAGGGGCTTATGGTGTTCAGGTGAGTTTTAGCTCAAATTCATTTCCCAGGGGGTCCCCTGAGCCCATTCTGTGGTTATTTCCACAGCTCCTGAATGCATAATTGGAATAGACATACTCAGCAGCTGGTAGAGTCCCTCAGTTCCTGACTTGTGGAGTGAGGGCCACCATAGTGGGAAACACCAAGTGGAAGCCATTAGAAGTATTCCTACCCAGGAAAATAACAAATCAAAAGTGATATTGTATCCACAGAGAGACTGCAGAGATCAATGCCACCATCAAGAACTTGAAATATGCAGTGGTGGTGATTCCCACTATATCCTCATCATTTTTTAATTTGACTTGTGCAAAAGACAGTTGGATCTTGGAGAATGACAATGTCTTATGATAAGCTTAACTAGGTGGTGACTCCAATTGCAGCTGCTATATCAGATTTAGTTTCATTGAATAATTAACACACCTCCTGGTGCTTGGTGTGCAACTTTTCTTTTTAAATTGACAAATGCCTTTTTTTTAGGCAAATGGTTTTTTCTCCATTCTTATCCCTAAGATCCACCAGAAACAGTTTTCTTTTAGCTGACAAAGTCAGCAGTATACCTTCACTATTCTACCTGAAGGGAATATCAGCTCTCTGGCTCTGTATCATAATTAAATTCAAGGGGATCTTGATTACCTTTCCCTTCCACAAGATATCATACAGGTCAGTTACATGCATGACAGCATGCTGATTCGACTTAGCAAGCGGGATGTAGCTTCTGCTCTAGATTTATTGATAAGACTTTGCATGTCAGAGGGTGGGGAATAAGTCTGACTAAAATTCAGGAGCCTTCTACCTCGGTGAAATGTCTAGGGGTCCAGTGGTGTGGAGAGAGCCCTCCTAAGGCGAAAGATAAGTTGTCACACCTAGTCCCTCCTACAACCAAGAAGGAGACACAATGCCTAGTGACCTTTGGAATTTTAAAACAACATGCTTCTCTTTGGGGTGTGTTACTCTGGCCCATTTAACTAGTGATCAAAGAAGCTTCTAGTTTTGAGTGGGGCCCAGAATATGAGAAGGCTCTGCAACAGGTCCAGGCTGCTGTGCAAGACGTTTTGCCTCTTGGGCCACATGATCCAGCAGATCCAACGGTGTTTGAAGTGCCAGCAGCAGACAGGAACATTTGAAGCCTTTGGCAGTCTCGTAGGTCAATCAGAGTGCAGGCCTTTCGGATTTTGGAACAAGACCCTTACAGTGCAGATAACTACTTTTCTTTTGAGAAACAGCTCTTGGCCTGCTACTGGGCCTTAGTAGAGACTGAGTGTTTGACCAAGTGACTACAGGACCTGAGCTGTTCATCTTAAATGATGTGTTAGCTGACCCCCTAAGCCGTAAAGCTACATAAATAAGTGGCTCAAATCTCATGTTCTCCACTCCTATCATCTTGCCTTCTATCTCTCAGCAGCGCCTGTGATCTCATAAGGAGTTCCCTATGGTCAGTTGATAGAAGAGAGAAGATACCTTTCTTTCATAGCAGCTGTCACTGAGGCTGTGTTATCTGAAGAATATTAAGTGTTGGCCTCCCTCATTAGAATATAAGTGCCTTTGTGCAAGGTCTTCTCAGATTGTTATTTTTATTCTTAGTAGAATAGAAAGCAACAGAAATCTCTGGGTCAGGTCGTAGGTAAGACATTTTGAGGTTCTGAGGATAAAAATGAAGTTAGTAAAGTCCAAGTGAGAAGAAAGTAAAAGTGCTTGAAAGCTCACTTGGATATTAATATTAAATGAAATGGATGATGACCTTCTAAATCTTTTGGTCAGGCAACCACCCCTTCAGGTCCCCTCCCTCTGTGGGAGATTTTCTGCCTTCTCAATAAATCCTACTTCCCCCCCTCAAAAAAATCTTTTGGTCAATAACTTCAAAATAATTTTTAAAACCATGGGCTTTTTTTTTTACATTTTAAAATTAATACTTAAAAGTTCTTACTGTAATGCTAGATATTGCAGAATAGGTAATATTTGGAGTAAACATTAAAATTAGAAAATAAAACTATTACAGTGCCCTTTAAAAAAAAGATGGAGCCAGGTTCATGTCTGTAATCACAGCACTTTGGGAGGCTGAGGCAGGAGGATCACTTGAGACCAAGAGTTTGAGGCCAGCCTGATCAACAAAGTGAGACTCTGTCTCAACCAAAAATAGAAAAATTAGTCAGTGTGGTGGTACATACCTGTAGTTTCAGCTACTCAGGAGGCTGAGATAGGAGGATCACTTGAGTCCAGGAGTTTGAGGCTGCAGTGGCCAAGATTGTGCCACTGCAACAGATTAAAACCCTATCTCAAAAAAATAAGTAAATAAATAAAAGAATGCAAGCACACTGAGGTCACAGACCTTTGTTTTGGCTCACTCTTGTATCTCTACATTCAGGATAGTGTCCAGCACTTAGTAGTGCTCAATAAGATAAGTGCTGTTGAATAAATAAATTAATGAATGCACTGAACAAATAAAAAAGTGACAGCCTTTTCAAAATGGTACAGACAACTTTGTTTTTTACTCCTTCACTGGAGTTTCTCTGTTGAGAATTCAGTTTTCACACCCACAAGTCCCAAACCACACGCTCTGGGGGCTGCGTGTGGTGGGCTTGTGAGGTGGTGTGACTTCTCACCTTCATGCGCCGTGGTTTCATTTTTGCCTGCTGGTTGAGCTCATGAGGGGAAGCCTCTCTCTGCATGTGGCTTTGGGACAGAATTTACTGAGTGTCCGGACCCCGGTTCTATTGGTCTTCCTGGGCCCCATTTCAGTCACTGATTCTTTAAAAAGTGTGATTAATCCTAATTATTTGCTATCTGGATTGGCCCCAAGGAGAGAGGGGATATGGGAGCAGATGCACTCTGAAGCCCAGAGACTCCTGGTCCCTCCCACTCCCTCATCTTCACATACTGTGAAGCTCCCCCCAGCCTCAAGCCACCCTTTGAGGGAGTGTCATCTTTTCCTCCCATGTGGAGGGGCTTCCTCTCTTCTCCCCACGCATTCTCCCTCTGAGGGTATCTTTTCCATCCTCCACCCTATCCTCAACATGAGGGTCTCAGACTTTCCCCTCAGCTCCTCATAGTGGGCAACACCCCTCTTTTCTCACCGAACATCTATTTAAAACTTCTTCCATTCTATTACGTAGCACATGCTTTCTCAATAATGAATATTTGGAAAATAAAGACAAATAGAAAAAACCGCCGGGCTCAGTGGCTCAGCCTGTAATTCCGCGCCTTTGGGAGGCTGAGGTGAGTGGATTGCCTGAGCCCGCGGGTTCGAGAACGGCCTAGGCAGCGAGACCTCATCTCTACAATAAATCAAAAAATCAGCCGGGCGTGGTAGCACATTCCTGTAATTCCAGCTACTCAGAAGAGCGCAGGCGGAAGGATCGCCGGAGCCCAGCAGGTCGAGGCTGCGGTGGCCGGAGCGGCCACTGCACTCCAGTCTGGGCGACAGAGTGAGACTCCAACTCAAAAAAAAAAAAAGAAAAAACCAAGTCACCTAAGCTTCCACCCACCCTCAAACAACTGGTGTTAATACTTTGATGTGTTCTTTCATTTTGAAAAACACAGTCGTAATCATACAGTACATTAAATTCTACTCTTTACTTTTTTCGCTTGTGATATTGTAACATTTTCTAGCTTTACAATATATAATTCTTAATGTCTGCTTTCATTTCATTTTTACCAGTGGTTAGACTCTTAGGTAGTTTCCAGAATTCCACTGTTGCAAATAACAAAATAATGCATGTTTTTTGTAGCGAATCTTGCAGACTTTATTCAAGGGTGTAGGGGGCTACTCCAATGGGGTTTTGTAGTAGGGGACAGATCTGGCTCAACTTCCTCTAAATGCCCTTCTGAGACAAGATAATCTCAATCCCATTCTTGCCCCCAAAACATTTTTTTTACTTTATTTTATTATAAAGATGTGCGATATGAGTCAGGGTTAGGTATACAAGTAATCTATGTGCAGGTGAAGTTTGGGCCTCCAACTGATCCTCACTTCCCGTGGTTTAGGATCAGATACCCTTTGTGTTGTTACATGCCTACCCTCCCCCCCACCTCACAATGTCCCAAGACTGCTGATTCCTCCCTTGTGCTTTTGTGATTAATGATCAGGTCCCACTTATGAGTGAGAACATGTGATATTCAGTTCTTTGTTTCTGTGATAAGTCACAAAGAATGATTGTGACCAATTCCATCCAATTTGCTGAGACGTCCACGATTTTGTTCTTCTATATGGCTGTGTAATATTTCATTGTGTATGTGTACTAATTATCTTCATCCAGTCCACTTTCAATGGCAGTAGAGTTGGTTCCATGGTTGTGCATTTAGGGGGTCTCCATTCAAGATATGTGCCAAGGAATGCATCAAAATCAGCCACCTACCCCCCACCTTCCCATGTTTTCCACTTCATTAAAACAAAGGCAAACAAACAACTAAAAAAACAAACAAACACAAAGGCAAGCTCTATAGGGGCAGGGATCATGTCTGCCTTATGTGCCAGATTGACATAGCAGAGGTTCTCAATAAATATTTGTTGGATGAATTAAACACTTTAAAAAGTTTGTAAGTAACCATCCCCCCTCCCCCTAATCCCAGACTCCAAGTTTATGCTAGATCAAAAATATGCCTGTAGGCTCAGTTTCTCCACTGAGATGGGTTCCTGCACAAGCCTATGGCCTAGGCTTTTCTCTCATAGCACCAGAGAATAAATGAACCCTGGCTAGGGGTCCTTGTCTTCAGGCCATACACACTTCTGAGTCTTTATGATGGTGCCTGTCAAATATGGTCTTCTCCATCCTTGTGCACTTTGACCTTCAAATCCTGCAGATCCACACATGACCCTCTGGGTATCAGTGGTCAGGCCTGCTGCAACTGTCCATGAAAGTATTTAATGAGGACCCAGCTTCATAAGAGCGGAGAGCGTGTCTGACCAATCAGCTCAAGCTCAGCACAGTGCCAGGCACACAGTTGATAAGTTGATGAATACATCTATTTGTGTGCATGTCTGTCTGTTCTGGGTTTCTTCCTGTCCTAGCAATCAGTCTCTTGATATATTCCTAATCTCCAAGCGCTGGGATGGAATGTGACTCCAGACCCTGAACTGGGGCCATCATTAATATGACAGAATCTGCCATCGATATGTGTGATGCTGCATTTTCATTTCCACAGAGATACTTCTAAACCCTTCTCTTGGTACTAGCTGACAAATTCACAGTCACATTTCTGGGAATGGATAGTTGAACATTCTGGGGTTGAGATTTCTCAGCAGTGAGTAGAATTATGAACTCTTAGATTGATGGTTTATTCTGAAAGGAAGTCATTGTTCCTTATTCTTTGGCAGTTCTGGTCAAAATGGTGAATTCTTAGGGCTGAGACTGGAGGGAGTGTTCTGCTGTCTAGATGACATTTTCATAGGTAAACAGTCTTGGTGTGTCTGGCGTTGTTGGTGGTGAGTTGGGATTCTCCATCTGTAGGCAGACAGAAGAAAGCAGTGTTTTGGAGGTGGGCAGGGCTCTGGATCTCCCATGGAGATTCTGCCACCCCAGATACTCTATTTCCAGGGTCACCCAGCCCAAGCCTCCTGCCAGCTATCTTCTACTGTTTAATCACTCCTGGCTTAGAGAAACCATTCTTTAAGCTTATTCATCTTGTGGAACGCTTGTGAACGGAACTTTCTTTGCAATCATCAAAGTCAACTTTTCCTATCACTAAGTAAACTCCCTTTTCAATCCCCATCTTTTCAGATCTGTTTGGGGGAGAACGGGAAAGGAGACAGAAAGGTACCATAGCTTCTGCCAAGCATGATCTGTGAAGGAATAAGCCTTAAAGCTTATCACATTAGTAGCTTAATTGAGGAAGACTACAAATCAGATGCAACATAGCTGGACTAAGGATAAAAAGTAGAAATCTCTCCCTCCTACAGTCTCCTGGTGGCTCAGGAGCAAGCTGGTGGTGTCTCCTCCCCAGCTACTCCTCTCCTCAGGCACAGCATAGGCCATGGTTTTTTCCTTATTCATGAATTCACGCTGAAGTCTTTTGGTTTTCTCCACCATTCCTATATAGAATCTCTCTTCTACTCTATCTGATCCAGAACACTCTTGTCCGACTCCTAAAATACAATTCCCTTCTATTCCCCATGTTCTTGTGTAACCCTAAGCAAAGAGAATGGGAAACTACTGGGATACTTTTTAATGCCAGAGAGTATGAAATTTTAACCTAAACATGAACCAGGAGAAGAATGAAACTCAGTTCTAAACCTTCTTACCTTTCTTGGAATCTGCACAGTGGAATAAAGCGTACTTGCTAGATCTTCCATTGGGACAGTTTTCTGTTCAGAAACAAACAATAAGCAAAAAAAAAAAAAAAAATCATTACCCATATCCTGAATCACATAGACAAGGCCAGAGAGACGCTCAGAATCCAGAGAGGGGAGGGCAGAGCTGGGGAGGAGATGGCAAGAGGGAAGAGAGGGTTCTGGAACAGGGATAGGTAGTGGGAAGTTTTCTTGTTGGCAGCTGCTGTTATAACAATTACTGATAATTTTTTTCAGGGCACCATTGCATTATTTTAAAACTGCGTTGTGTTTAAATTAATTTCAAAAATATATGAGGTATATATGTCTCATGAGTTATGAGACTCCTGAGGAGGTTACATAATTTGAAACAGTCCTGCTAATGTTGCCAGTAAATTTTCTCAACCACTAAAGAGCCTTTGGAAAAAGTCAGCAGAGTCACTAATGGAACAAAACAACAACAATAACAGGAGCTCCTTTTCAACTGGAGGAAAATGTCCTGGTTTAGATAAGCTTACTCCTGTGCATCTGGGGATGTCTTGCAGCCTTCTGTGGATGTGTCTTGAGCAGAGTAAGAGAGAGAATGGTGACAGAGTGATAAATTTTGACTTAAACCAGTTGGGTGGAGCACAAAGTCTCCCCTGTGAGGAAGGAGAGGGCTCTCAGAAAACTAATGATTTTGGTAGTATTTCCTCTTTGTGGGGGTAAATTAGGTAAGTGTAGGAAGATGTGACCTGATCAAAAGATACCAAAGGTTGGGGTAAAACTGGGGTCTTGAGGTCAAAGCATGTTTAGTTCTTTATTAAATATTGAGGCTCTATGACCTCTAAAGAGCCACCCAGCCTACAATGATTGGTCCCAAAGAGCCACCCAGCCTACAATGATTGGTCCCAATGAGTTGTCTACTCATTTCATGTCTGCAGATTGTCTTTTGTTATTTAGGTTTCTTTAAATCATATGCTTATGATTTTCTTTTCAGAGAGTTTCCTTTGAATTCCATTTGTGTTCATTCATTTCACTCGGTGACTCACACCTGGGAAGCCTTGAGTGGGAGCCCAGAGTCACCTAGGCCCCCGACCCTTCTCCTGATGACCCCTTGAGTCACCTTACAGAAAAGGGCATCTCTGGAGCAGCCAATCTTCTGACACCATGACTCAAACATCATGTCAAAGTCACAGTCCTCTGCCCGCTACCTAAAGCCAAAGGAATCAGGTCTTTTGAGTGGCCATTGTGAATCATGGAGGAGGTGATCCCATAGACCACAGCACAAGCATTACTGGCTGGGTCAGAACCGGGTGCTTCAGAGGCCACCAGCTTCCGAGCAGAAAAGGATCCCTGAAGACTTGTGGGAGACATGGGTGCGCTGGGTTTTAAGGGTTGTACATCCTCACCCCCTTTCCCCATTCCCATGTTGCACAAACACATGGGGAAAAAAACCTCAAGTAACACAAGGAGAATCTCAGAGAGAGGATCAAGTCCCAGGATAAATGGGAAAGAACTCACAGCAATGTAAGAGACTGTGTCATATTCTGTGTTCTCTCCAGAATGGGAGCAGAAGTTAGAAATTTCCTGATGAGTGTCCTTTTTCTCCTTCCTTTCAGTGGATTCTAAAAGCAAGTTGGGAGAGAATCAAAGCCTCCCTCTCCAACCACTCACCACCCTCACTGGCCCAGTATCCTGCCTGGATAACCCACTAGGGTGACCAACCATCTCAGTTTTCCTGAAACTGAAGGGTTTTCCAGGACAGGGGACTTTCAGTGTTGATACTAGGAAAATCCTAGACAAACCAGAATGAATAGGTCACTCTTGTCACTTTTCTCCTTGGTCTCTGGATCAAGATGTTTAAAGTGGGAAGCAGACAAAGTCAGAAAAACTCTCACAGGGCATCCAACAGGGATGAGGAATCTCAAAGTTTACAGTTCATACCCAACCAATGTTTAGGTTCCTCCTTGATACCCTATGAGGGCAGTAGAAGCCCGAGAAGACATATTACCAGGGTTTAGGGACACAGAGCATGGAATCCAGCTGGAAAGAGACAGCGAAAGTCTTCTCCAGGAGGAAAGTGTCTAGACTGAACCGGAAGCAAAGCGAGGTCTTGAGTTGAACCCGTGGAAAGGGCTGGAACTGGTTTGTGAGCTCTAATTGGGATGAGGATAGGAAGGGCTGAAGGATTCTGGTCTGTGGGGATCTCAGAATTGGAGGCCATCACCTCCCAGGTCAGGGGAGCAGAGTCAGCAGTGCGGGGCCCATGTCTGGGGCAGGAGAGGAGTGGGCCTTTGAAGGGAACTAGGAGGACCGTGTCTTCTGGAGAAGAGGTAAGGCCTTCAGCACTCTACTATGGAATGAGGACTGACTATGTTTCTTGAAGGCAGAGACTGGCCTCTTCATTGCTGTATCCTCAGCACCTAGCACCAAGTCTCACATACCACTCAATATATACTTGTTGAATCAATGAGGGGGGAAAAATGCATGAATGAAGGCGAAGAAAAAAATGGCATAGTTTCTACCTTTTTCTTTGTCTTTCTGCAAACACCAAATAGCTATTCCCACTAGAAGGAGACTGAGCAGGATGAGCCCCAACAGGAGAATCAGGATGACCATGAGGGAATCCGGGCCACCACCACCTTTAAAAACAGAACACATGGAGGTGTGGGAAAAGAACAAAAGTTAGCTTAGGAAAGTAATGACCTGACTTTTGGAGTACCTGCCACCTTCTTCCCAGGCAACTTCCCAGTGGCCTCCAATTTTCACACAGGGCCTGTTCCCAGGGGGACCAGGAGCTGAAGAAGGTGCAGGTCCTGGGACCAGAAGCTCCCATAAAGAGGTGAGAAGCGGTTACCTTCGCAGAACTTCCTGGTAAGGATGGGGCTTGAGGAGCTGTTGCTGATGGGATTCCTGACAATGCAGATGAAGGCTGTGTCCTTTCCCCCCATTCTCCAGGAGACGGAAAGGATGGGGCCATTATGGAACTCAGGGACTGTTTGCCCCAGGGTCTCCCAGCTGTAAGTCACATCCTCTTCTTCACGTTCCATGTAGCATGTGAGATTGGTCATGCAGGTGCCATTCTTATTGCTCTGCAGACCCACGGTGACTTTGGGCTTTGACACTTGCTCTGTGAAGAAAGGACAACCAGGGATGGAAACTCTGCCTGTATCTCTCCTTTCTCTAAATTATCCTTGAATACCTCGAACCTGAATCTTTTTGGGAGCTCCAGAATGCAGAGGGAACACCATTCCAAGTAGAATCTTCATTCTTTTTTTTTTTTTGAGTTGGAGTCTCATTCTGTCGCCCAGACTGAAGTGGAGTGGCTGCTCCCGGCCACCGCAGCCTTGACCCACTGTGCTCCGGCGATCCTTCCGCCTCAGCCTTTCCAGTAGCTGGAATTATAGGCATGCACTACCATGCCCAGCTGATTTTTTGATTTATTGTAGAGATGAGGTCTCGCTGCCCAGACGGGTCTCGAGCCCGCGGGCTCAGGCAATCCACTCACCTCAGCCTCCCAAAGGCACAGGATTACAGGCTGAGCCACCGAGCCCGGCTGGAATTTTCATTCTTAACTGGAAAAGAGAACTATCCAGGTCTGCTTGCCCACAGTTATATAACAATAATGGTAACAGCAACAAGAAGATTCAGACTCGGGAGGAAACATTTCTCCTACCTAGCTTTACCAGAGATAAAGCTGACATTTTTATCTTCTGATTTTTGTGTCTATTACCAATAGGTTGGATTCTGTAGGGAAAGTGGTGTGACAGATGCTTATAACCACAAATCTTCCTGAGGTGGGTATTGCTTTCCTCCCCATTACAGATATGGAAATTAAGACTCGAAAAAATTGAATAACGTGGCTAAGTTCATGCAACTAATAAGAGAAGCCAGCAGTTGGCCCCAGCCTGTGTGGTTGTCACTTTTGGTATCACCCATTCACTGCACCATATTGTTTCTTACAGTATTGCTGAGTAGGCAGGGACCCCAAGGGCCAGCCACATCTATTTCTTTCGTGCAGGAGTCCCCTCTCCCACATTTTTGTCAAGTGTTTATCCAGCCTCTGCTTGACATCTCCCATGTCAAGGAGCTCATCACCTCATCAAGGCATCCATTTACCATTGGAACACATTCTGCTCACCATACACATGCAGCATATACTCCTGTGTTGAGGGAAACTGGGATGATGAACTGTGTATCTGCACACTGTAGGAACCTGAGTCATTCTTCCTCAGTTTGTTGAGCTTCAGGGAGTAGCCTCCACCTGAGAAGTCCACCCTTTCCCTATTACGATTGCTAGTCACTATAACAGTGGCGTTTTTGCTCTCCGTGCCTGGCTGTATGGTGATGAGAGTGGTTCTATTGAAGGACCAGACAATACTGTCAATCTGCTTTTCTGTGAATGTCAGGGGGAAAGTCACAGACCCACCGATGGCTCCGACCAGCTCCTTCATGGCTCCAGAAGTTGCTGACGCTGCAAACAGAGAACCATAAAATAAGTCCAAGTCCCTGCTCTTGTCTCCGGTTACTCACCCTTTTTGGGTCCTGGGGAAATCCTGAGAAATTCATTCAGTCCAACCCAGTCAACTCCTGGGAAACCCTTCAGAACCTCACTAAAATATGAAAGCACTGAGACTGGAAATTTTTGTTTCACCCCAGTCTTAGTTCACCCCAAGAGAGCATGACTTGTAAATATTCATCACTGGTTATGTGGCTTTAGGTGAAAAACAGTTAAGAATGTCTGCTGAAGAAACTTTCAGAAGTGGTCAGTTGAGCACTACCTGTGAACAGGTATGAGGAATGAGTCATTAAAATCTTAGAGACAGATGCTGAGAATAGCACAGAGCAGTGAGATCAATTAGATTGGGACTAACAGTTTAAAAGCACCTACTGTGATCTTGTTTAACTCTTAAAACAAACCTTAGAGGAAGGACTTTTTATATCCTCTTCTTACAGATCAGGAACCTGAGGCACAATGGGGCTAAGTGACTTACTCAAACTACATAGTAAATGGCAGAGTCCACATCAAGTACTGACAGGGTTGAGACCTTAAAGAGCATGTTTTATAGATGAGAAAACTAAATAGCAGAGATAGAAAGGACTTATTCAAGTCTAATAGAAATGGTAACACTAAAATTAAAACCTTAAAGGTGTTCTCCTTAAAAGTACAAAACTCAAAGCTATTTCTGTTTCTGCCTCTTAACATAAAGTGTCAGGTTGAAATGTTTAAATGAAATTGTATTAATTCAGTCATGGAAAGTACAAAAGGAAGAAATAAAGAAAATATTAAAAAGCTAACAAAACACCCAAGCTATAGGATCCTGACATTTGTATGTTAGTGATGCAACTGCAAGGTACATTGTGACTTTCATGGTTCCTATGTACTTTTACCTTTGTTGGCTCTTCCTCCATAAGAAATGTTAAAAATTATATTCTATGTCTGTGTGGCTATAAAAATGAATATAGTCCATACTGGATTGATTATATGTTCATTATTATCTTTATGTATTTTTCTGATTGAAAAAGATTTAAAATTAAATCTGTTGTAGGCCCTATGCTCTGTCTCCTAAACCTAATTGGTCCTATGAGATTGACCAAGCTTCCAGGCTCTGTTCCATATCAAAACTTACTCTCCCACCATAATATTTCCTACTATAGCACTGATGTAACTCATGCATTGCCTCATAAAAAGATAGATTCCTGTATTGACCTATCCAGATATCCAAAATCACTTCATTAGAGATTTATTCCCTTGGTCCATGTTAAAACTCCCATATCCTGGCAAAACTTTCAAATATTAGTAGTTGTCATGTATTAAAAGTATATTCTGTGCCAAAGACTTATTGTAAAGAATATGCCTAATACTTAAAGAAACTCTGCTAATTAATTAGGTATTTTGACCCTTTTACACAGAGATCAGCCATCTATAGCCCATGGACTAAATGTGGTTGGTCCACTGCCTGTTTCTGTAATACAGTTTTACTGGAACCCAGCCATACTCCTTCATTTACATATAGTCTATGGATGTGTTTGCCGCACAAAAGCTGAGTTGCACGGTTGATACAGAGATGAGTTATGGCCCACAAAGCCTAAAGTATTTACTATCTTGCTCTTTACAGATAAAACTCCTGAATTAATGAGAAAACTGAGATTTAAAAAAATGAAATAGCTCATTCAGGGGCACAAAACTAGTAGGTGACATTTTAAGGGTCACTCCAGCTCTGGCACTGGAACTCTTACAGCTCAATTTGAAGGCCCTTGGCATTTGTACCAGCTCCAGCCCTCTCCCTCATTATCCTTCCCCTAAGGGGCTCACGTGTCAACTCCAATGCCCTTGGGCCCCATTTAACTCCAATTGCCCTTCATGGCCTTTGGTGACCTTCCCTCAAGCATAAGCTGCTCTACCAGTGCCCCAGGGTGCAGATGTTACCAAATGTGGACCTCCTCCCTTGATTACAGATATGAGGGCTCTATCAACTTTTTGCTAAATTTACCTCCAAAAGAACTGCTTTCTCTTCCTTGGTAAATATCTTTTAGAAGCTGATTCATATTTTCAAATGTTTCACCCACAGTGTATCCCCCATAATATTAGGCATACAACTTCGGATCTCTCAAGACTTTATCAAATCATTGTGTTAAGTAATCTGATTTTTCAAAAAGCTCTTCTCTCTATTTCTCTGACATTAAGGCTAGAATAGCTTTTTGACTACTTTTTCTTTGGTCATCTCAAGGAGTATCAAAATAGTTCCAGTAAATGTTACAGACAATATCAATTTTATTTGAATTTTTGATCACTCACTCAATCAATGCATTCCTTCTTTTACTTCAACAACAGAGATGAGGTGGAGGTAAATATTTTAAAGTCAAATAAAGATCGGGTATAACTTTCCCCCAAGTGGGTGTAATCCCTACACTTAGGGCAACCTGCAAGTAATTTCATTTTTGCATTTGATTTTGGAGCAATATTGAAGATGAGGAAGTGGCAAGATCAAGGATGTGGCTTTAGTTGTTAGTAGGTATGCTTGTATTTAAGCTGTGATCAGTTAATCACTTTTCACCCTTTTTCACCCATGGTGCTAAATTCTCAGAGTAAATGCCAAGAGACATGAATTGTGTGGTGATATAAGAAAGTGTCTCCAAATTAATTGTTTCTTGTTAGAATAAAGTTTGAGGATGACACAGGGCAAATTGCCAACATGCCCCTGGATGGAGTGTATTGTTCTGTCTCAAGTTTATCTTCAGAGTGAGAAGAGGGGGAGTGAGAGAAGAAAGTAGTTCCTTGCCATTTCCCAAGTGTGGGTTCAGAGGACAGGGGGCAAGGTGGGAGGGTCCCAACCAAAAAGTTTTGTTTCTTCTTTCTGGCTGACTGAGAAAAGGGATTCAGGAACAAGAGAATTCTCTTTTTAAATGTCCAAGGTGGAGTGGAAAGCTCCCCTTTCTGTGATGGTTTTGCACCTGCAGAGTGTGTCCCTCTAGAGCTTTCCCATATCTAAGCAGTTCACACTTGTCTCACTCTGTCATTTGTTCCTTTAACAAAAATTCATTTCGTTTCCCATTGTTTAGGAGCCAAGGATATAACTGGGGGGCAAGATAGTCAATCCTGGAGTTGGGAGAGAGTAACTACATTAAACAAGTGACAGCACATGCTATGAAAAGGTAAGTAGCAGGTACTGTGGGAGCATACAGTGCAGGGAGGGATTCAACATGATTTGTGGGACCAGAAGACTCTAGAGCATGAGCGGCTACCAACATCTCCTTTGAGGCCCAGGAGGATTGGGTCCCATGAGATTTGGCCACCCTCCTCAGATGTCCACCCTTCCTCTTGAGTTAGTGCAGTGGTATTGTAATTGACTTCCTCTGTGCCCGTTCACCCCTTCCTCATTTTGCAGCGGTCAAATGGTTTGGATAAGACGGGTCAACACTCAGCTCCAGTGATGGTCCCCTCCAGCACAGTAATTTGTTCAGAGGTGTCGCATGATCTGGGTTGCTGGTATCTGAGAGAAGCCCAGGACTTTTGCTTTGAGGTCGGGGTGATGATATAATGCTGTGGAAAGACATGAAGTGGGGACCACTACCCACGTGTGGCTGCTATGCAAGCAGTCGGTCCTCTTCCTTCTCCTGACCCCCAGCTCACTGTCTACCTCAAGCGATTGTTTGTGCTTTATCATCCTCCTCTCTGTCCTTCTCAATTTCACTCAAAACCCACAAAGCCTAGTTCAAAGCCCTCCCTCCAAGGAAGTCTCCAACTCTTCTCCACACCCATCCCCTAAAAATTCACCATCAGTGTCACTTCATCTTCACTTTAAATTCTCCAGAAAGAAATGTTCCTTCTGGGTGATGACTGAACACATCACTTTGCTGTGAATCAGCCAATGACTGGTCTATAAGGATTAGGTTCCAGATCCCCCAATGACAGGGCCACAGGGTCCCACCCAGAGAAGGGCGAAGATGGCTTCTCCTGCCTCAGCATGTAGCAGTGTGGGAAAGGGGTCTGTCCGAACTGGGAGTCAGGACACGTGGGTCCATTCCGCAGCCTCTGTAATCATAGCTCCAGCAACAAACCCTTGGTATCATTCCGTGGTGTATAAGCTGTTTAGCGACACTGTTTATCTTGATCCTTAAAACCCCCAGTGAGACAGAGGTTAAGCCCCACTTTATAGATGAAGACACTGGGGTTCCAAGAGGTGGGGTGACTTTCCCAAGACCCCCAAAAAGAAATAGCAGAAGAGGGAGGAGAAGTTGGTTAGTTCCTCTAGCTCAGAGGTCTGTGCTCTTTTCACTACTGCCTCACCACATATACCACTTTGAGTTTTGGTTTCTGAACTCTCATAGGAGAAAAATAGCAACCTTTATTTACCAGGAAACTGGGAAGATGAAGTGTGAATGCAGATTTGAAAGCCTTTTGAGAAGTACAGAGCAGCCTAATGGCAAGGTGGGAGGCGGGAGGCAAGGGCAGGGAGTGATGATGCCAGAGTCAGGCCTTGAGGAGGCTTTCCATCTTTTGGTTTTATTTCTGCAAGGATGGCTAAAAATAAGAACTAGAGATTTCCCGAAACACCTTTGGATGACTTCTCAGCAAAACAAGCCAGAAGGCTAAGAGGACAGTGAGCATGCCCGAGTCACCTGCCTCTGGAGGTGGAGGAGCCAGAGCAAGAGACACTTTGCCTTCTGCCCTGGCCAAAATGCAGGTGTTGTTGGCATCAGAAGTTCAGCTTGAGATGGTCTCCAAAAGAGGAAGCGACAGCAGCTCCTCCCCCACACCACCTCCCTTTCCTCTGGGTTGTCACCTCCTCTCCTTGTCTCCCAAAATCTCAAGAGTTGAGCAGAAAGAAGGAGCCAGATGATAGGGAATGTACATTATCATTGCAGCTGGAACTAAGGGATGGTGGTCCAGCAGGAAGGCCTCAAGTTAGAGGAGAGTGTGAAGCCCATCTCCTGTCTGCCAGTCCTGCCTCCAAACACCTCTCCAAGCACTTGGTGCCTTTGTCTGAACGCATCAGTGTATTGTAGCACTCTCCTCATGGAAATCATGGACCACGGCATCTCAGTGCTGGGAGGAACATTAGGAATTACTTAGACCAATCCCATTTCACAGGTTGAAGTCCAGAGGATTATGGTGATGTCTCCCAAGCGAGCAGATCACCAAGATTAGGAACTAAGAATTTCCCCAACTGTGCCCCTGCCACCCTTGGAGTCTGTGGCAGCGCCTCAGTGTTTTTCTGGGGAGCTTGAGAGGAAGTGTCAGGGGTGGAGTATAGAACACCGAGGTGATGGGGCAGAGGCTATGAGACTTGTTTTCCATTAGAGAGGCTTCAACTCCATACATTAGAGTCACACACGTGTCTATTTCTGTGTAAGATTTCATTTCACAAAAGGAAACCGCTGCTTAACAAAACAAAACAAAAGAAAACACAATGTTTGGAATCTTGCTCTTTACCCAGTTTCTGTTTAGAGAACATGCCCTGGAAAGAGCACTGTAAATCTATGACACGTGAGACACTCATAGACCTCCCACTTCACACATTCCTTTCCCAACACTCCAGCCCTAATCCCCCACATTCACATTCAAGCTCCCCACCATTCTGTTCCCCTACTCCTCTCCTGCCTCCTCTTCCGTGCTTCTTCTGGTTCTTTTCGACACTCTTCCCAATACACCCTCACTCACTTTTTCTATTTTCATTTTATTAAATGTCTACCCAACACAGACTGTATCATTTGATCATTGTAAAATGTATTAGCGAAACAGATTATTGTGCCCATTTTTCAGATGAGAGTATTGAAGTCATGAAGGCTGTTCCTTGGCCCCTCTGAGACTGGGCAGGCTGGTTCCCTGTTGGTGCATCCATAACCCAGAAACAGAGCTGCCTGCTCTTCTCGAGTCTTTCTGGTTTCTACCTTGACCTTGTGTACCTGGGAAGGGCAGAAATCCCAGCTGACTCACATATACATGTCCTGAGCAGCTCTCTTGTGTCAGGAACAGTGTGAGGCAATTTGGGGTGATGAAAGGAGCACTAGCTTTGAAAACTTAGTCTCTGCTCTACCTGGTTATAACTGTGTAATCTTGCCCAAAAAACTTGACCTGACTAAGCTTAAGTTTCCTCATCTGTAAAACAGGAATAATAACATCCTCTTACAGACTTGTGAGGAGATTGTGTGGTAAGCACCTTGGATGCATAGGCGATTTAATAAATGGTGGTTATCATTATTATTACTTTGCATTTGCTATATAATTTAAAGCATCACAATAATTCTGCAAATTAGGCTTTATTCTCTTTGATAAGAACAAGGCTCAAAGATGAATAAATTGCCCCCAGTAAGCCAAATCCAGGTTGCCTCACCCAGGGTCAAGACTCTTTTCACTGCCCTACCCACTGGACGTTCCAGAACAATCTCTGACTCCTTTCAACCACAGCAGGTGGACCACACAGACTGCCTGCAGCCTGTTGGAGCAGAACAGATGGAAACACACAAGGCAGATTTTCATACCTGTGCCCTATTGCCCAGGGTTCAGATTTTAGATGAACACCTGGGACTTTCAAAAGCTCTCCAATGCCTTCTTCCTACTTCACCTTTTTCATGTTTCGCTTTTGATCACCATTTCCATGCAGGGAGTAATATTTAAAGTGAGAGCCTATCCCAGGACCACCTGCTTAGAACCAGGTGCTTCCTAAAAATGCAAACTTCTGATGAATTCAAGGGGGATAAGAGTCTGCTGATGCTGACCACTTAGTGAGGCCCAGTAATGGTGATGGGAAGGAAAGGACTGAGAGCACTGACTGCCTGTGTGGCCTCGGGAAGGTCACTCTCCTCAGGCTGGGTACACATAATGAACCAGTTATGCCAAACCCCCAGAGGGGGACCTCATGGAACCCCATGAGCTTGATAACAGGAGAGATATTTATCACTTAGGGGATTCCTGATCCTTTCTGAGAGCCCTTAGGATAGTAAAATCTTCAAAGAATACCCTTGACAGATGCAGAATGGTCCTTGGTCCTCCATGGGATTAGACATAACGTGCCTATGGTATGAGCTAGTTTTCTAATTAGAAACTGACTGATGGGATTGCTTGGGTTAAGAGAAAATTCAAATGATCCTTTCCACTTATATCTTTGCTATGCATAACCAGTTAAAATATGCTTGTAAATATATTTTCATTTAAAATACATTCATACATGAATACATACTTGTACAATACCATTTTGCTTTTAATGTTGCCCTCAAATGGAGGGAGAGTTTGGACATAATGTCTCTGAGACCCAGGAAAGCTTTGACATTCCTAATTTAACTCACGGCAGAAGCCAGATTAGACAACAGGTCTCTAGTACACAGCACTACTTCTTTCAGTTGCTCTTTTCCTGGCACAGTCAGAAGGTGAGTTGATTTTCCCTCCCTCTAGTCTAGTCAGAGACCAAAGGTTGGTAAAAAAGCAATGTTAGATGAGAAAGCAGAGCTTCCTAAGTTGACACAGTGGTCCAGAGTGGAACAAGGAACCTGAAGCTACACCTCAGGATGAACAGGCCAGACAGAGGGAATGAAGAACATCTTGCTGTACTCACCTGTGAACTGACAGAGGAGAAAGACATGAATGAGGCCTGTTGGGGAGCCAGCCATATCGCTCTGTGGATGTCAGTGACTGAAGAGAAACTGCTACCCTCTTACACGGATTACTTCTCTTCCTCAGCTGATACGTAAAAGAGGTGGGAGGGGTCATGTCACTAATGTATGAGAATGAGTCATCTCTGATAGTCTGTCTGACTTCAATGTCAAATACATAGAAGGTGTATAATAAAGAAGGGAAAAAATGAACTCAATCCCAAAGGTGATAAAACCTCATTTTCCAGATAAAGAATCCGAAATTCAGAGAGGTTAGGAATCAACCAAAGCCATATAGTCTACATGTTTCTGCTATATCACATGACTTCTAAGAGACTCAGAAACAGAGGAAATAGAAGAAAATAGAAGGCTAGATGGGAGACAAATTGGTGGTACTGGAGATAATAGTATTTGTTGAGCTTTTCTAAGTGCCAGGCACTGTGCTAGGAGTACATGCAGCTTTAAAAATGTATTCCTCATAGCAACATTGTAAGTGAGATACTACTATAAAATCTACATCACAGATAAGAAAATAAAGGTTTAGAGTATATTACAGCAAAATCAAGTTCTTTTTATCAAAAGAAAGCATTATGAGAATAAAAAGGCAAGCCTCAGAGTGGGAGAAGTTATTTGAAATGCATATATCCCTCAAAATTCTCATATCTATAATATGTAAAGAAGTTCTGCAAATCAATAAGAATTAGGTAGACAACCCAGTAATCAAGAGGCTCAAATAAACACTTCATAAAAAGTATATTCAAATAACCAACAAGAAAAAAACACTAAGAAGGTCAACAGAAGGATTAAAACAGAATTTTTTAAAATTCCATAATAATTTTTTTAAAAAGAGGAAAGATGAAATGGTAAAACCAAAAAGAAAGTAAACAAGTAGAAAACACAACAAAATGGTAGACATAAATCCAACCATAGCAATGATGACACTAAGTATAAATAAACTAAACACTCCAATTAAAAGGCAAAGATTGTTAAAATAGATTTTAAAAACCTCAACAGAACCGTATGTACTTTACAGATTTAAAGATACAGATAGGCTGAAAGTAAATGAAGAGATAAAGATATACCATTTAACCACTGGGCATAAGCCACTGGAGTAACTCTATTAATTTCAGCTAAAGTAGACTTTAAAACAAAGAGATAAAGAAGGATATTTCATAATAATAAAGATATCAATTTATCAGGAAGACACAAGAATCATAAGTGCTTATGCTGCTTTTGATACTGTGATATAAGAAAGGGGGTGTGGGATTGGCAGTTGAGGGAAACTGCTAGGGCAGGGAGGGGCATACCTCATTAACAGGGGTACCTGCATGATTTATGTTTGTATACTTAACCCTGAATTGTATCCCACATCTTTACATTAAAAATAAAAAAATTAAATTAAATTAAAAATAAATAAAAATTTTTTAAAAGAACACATAGCTCAGTAAGAAGAAACACAACTCTATTTTTAAAATGGATTATGAATCTAAAATAAATAAATAAGTGATCAAAAAAGAAAAAAGTTAAAGAAATACATACTTGGTCTTTGTCTACAATTTCTGGCATAGAGTTCCTAAAACCCTTGTAATTTCCTAAATGGTAGGGGTGCCAGGAACAACTTTTGTTATAATGTTTGATCTTTTATTCCAGCTCCTGGCACAGAGCTCCTATGTCGCTTGCAATTTCCTGGGTGATAGAAGGTGTTCTAAGAAGGTGACTCCCAATGAGCTCCTGGATAGTTTCAGGATATGGTGCTGGGCACCAGGAAGACCAATCCATTTTAGTATGTTGGAACTTTCAGCTCCATCTCTCGTTCTTTGGGAAGTGGAGAGGGGCTGGAGATTGAATGAGCAACTGGTCATGCCTATTTGATGAAGCCTATATAAAAACAAAGTACAGGTTTTGAAAAGCTTCTGTGTTGGTAAACATGTCCACATGCTGGGAGGGTGGTGCACCTCAACTCCACATGGACAGAAGCTCCTGTGTGTGGGACTCTTCTGGACCTCACTCCATGTATCTCTTCATATGGCTGTTCTTCTGGATCTTTTGTAATATCTTTTATAATAAATCAGTAAATGTGTTTCTCTAGCAAATAATTGAAACTGAGGAAGGGGTTGCAGGAACCTCTGATTTGAACCCAAGAATTGTCTATAAATTCCCATCACAACTTGAAGGGACTTGGAGACAAGCTGAGAGAACATCCACATATAAACTAAGGAGTGCACTAGTAAAACAGTGAAAATTGCTTGGATACCTATAGTGGGTGTCAAGCTCACTGGGGTATTTATAAATACATTTTACCAGATACCAAAGTCTTAATATGTCATAACAGAGTCTATAACAGCCTTTACTAAAGTATTGCTAGCTCTAACAACATGTGCTTTCACATGGTACAAACACTAAAACTACTCTTAACAACTCCATTGGCTTCTGTATCCTCATCTATTCCTCTTATTTTAGACAGGTAGGGCCATTTTTATGGCCCAATCCAGCAGGAAGAATCTCCAGAAAACTGATCTTTGCCCTATTCCCTAGCAGTAAATAAGAATATTTTAAAATAACAAAAGGAGTGAATAAAAGACTGAAAAGCTAAAATGGAGGAACTTTAGTCAAAGTGACAGCCATTTAAACATCGCTTGGCTTTATCATGATTTTCTACAGACCCACCTTATAACAATTAAACAAGAAATACAACTGTTTTCCTGGTGGTTACCAGTAATCATCTTGCAGTCCTTCAAACATGCTTTGTACTAACTGCTCTTTTATCCAAAGTATTTGTCTTTCTGCCAAAAAGGGCCAAACTGACATAATCTATTGTGATCAGCCCTTCATGATCTATGTGACACAGACCACCAACCCATCACCATAGTGACAGTTCCTGTACTTACCTACCCCCTTCATGACCATGTGATGCAGCCTAGCACCACATCACCATAGTGACTTGTCCTCACTAAAGGGAAGCTTTAAAAGCTTTTCAATCTCAAGCATTTGCTGCCAAACGTTCTTGAAGCATTTGGTCTCCTCTCCAATCTTGGAGAGATGAATCCACCCTTTTTACTCTGATCTACTTTTTAAATAAACTTTTTCTGACCTACTCTTTGGGCAACTATTTGCATCTTATCTGCAGCACTGGCTCAGGTCACTGACCTAACAGTTATAATTCTTGCTTCAATTGTCAGACATAATTCCGAGAACTCAAGAGGAGAAGGACAATCTATTTATTTATCCACATTTTTACTCTTTCCATTGTTATTTTTTCATTCCTAATATTCAAGATTTCCTTCTTGTATCATTTCTTTCCGTTTCAAGATATTCCTTTAGTCATTCTTTTATGGTAAGTCTGCTGGAAACAAATTATCTTCATTTTCCTTTACCTGAGACTACCTTGATTTCACCTTTATACCTGTGTATACAGTTCTAGGTTGACAGTTATCTTCTTTCAGCACTTGAAAAGTGTCATGATACTCTTTCGGCCTTCAGTGGTCTCTGATGAGAAATCAGCAGTCATTTAAATTGCTTTTCCCTATAGGTAGCATGTCATTTTTCTCTAGCTATTTTCAAGGTTTTTTGTTTGTCTTTAGTTTTCAGAAGTTTTATTATAATATACCTTGGTATGAATTTCTTTGGGATTCTCCTGTTTGGGATTCATTCAGTCTCTTGAATCTGTAGGCTTATGCCTTTTGCCAAATTTGGAGGAATTTCAGTACTTTTAAAATTTTTTGTGGAATTCTTTTTTCTTTGCCTTACATTCTTTCCCCTCTCCTTCTAAAACCCTGATGGCATGAGTGTTATAAATTTTTTGTTATTGTCCCACAGGTTTCTGAGACTCCATTTATTTATTTCAGTCTATTTTTTTCTGTGTTCCGATTGAGCATTTCCTATTGTCTATCTTCAAGTACTCAAATTCTTTCTTCTCAGTCATTGTATTATTCAGTTCTAAAGTTTCCCTTTGGTTCTTAAAACTTCTGTTTTTTTGCTTAAGTCTTTCTAGATTTTTTGTTTATTTGTTTTAAATGTGTTACAATTGCTTGTTGACATATTCGTATGACGACTTCTTTAAAATCCTTGTCAGAAAATTCCAGCGTCTGTGTCATGTTGATTTTGGTGACTGTGAATTGCCGTTTTAAAATTCAAGTTGAGATATTCCTGGTTCTTGGTCAGTTAAGTGATTTGGAACTTATTTACTTATTTTTCTTTTCATTTAAAAAGAATTTTAGGATCATGGGGATCCTATTCCTATTTCTTATACAGAAATATTGTGTACAGGCAAGGCTTGGGCTTCTGAGGAGTCCACCTCTCCTCCCCAGTGGTGATTGTGGTACCCAGGGTGTGGTTTTGTATCCCTTAATAAGTGATTTTTAACACAGTGGTGGTAAGGTGGGGGTAAGTGGTGGTAAATTTGTCATTACTACCCAGCAGTGGCAAAAATCCAGACTCCATTTAAGCTTCTTTGACATCACCCAAAGCAAAATTGGGGAAGAGTACCTCATCACTGCAGGGAGAGAGTGGAGACTCAGTCTCCTCACTAAGCCTCTTCTGATGTCACCTAAGTGGGGAGAAGGGAAGGGTGATTCCTTGCTGCCAAGGGAGGGTGGATGTCTTGGTTTTCTACTTGGCCTTTGCTGGTGGGATAGGCAAGTGGTCCCAAATTTTTCCCCATGGCATTTGACTAGAATAAGGTGGTTATTTTCTAAAGACTCTTATCTTGCTAGCCCATTTGCCAGTTTTTGGCAAGAGAGAGCAAGCCTTTCTTGGGGTTGGCAGTTCTAGATTATAGTCTTATTAGCACACGGCCCAGAATATACAGACGACAAAAAGATAACCAGGGGAAGTCATGGCCATGCCATTTCTTGGGTGCAGAGGTCCCGAGATAGGACTTCTCTCTATCCTTTACAATCTCCTTGTGTTTGTGTTTTATGTATAATGTCCAGGGTTTTTATCTTTAATTAGTGGCAAAAACAGAGAGAAATGTGCTTATTCCATCTCCTTTGGAATGAGAAGTCTGATCACATGTTTTC